AATGACTTTACATTTAATGACGCTGAGACAGAGTCTGATTCCGATGACAACCAAAGCAATCAGGAGGTGCAGAGGAGCGTTCAAACTGGTGCAACAGTTGGCTCAGAAAATGGTGAGTTGCTTGATACCAAATTGATTTGTATAAAATACTATTTGGATCATTTTAATTTCATTTAAATGATTGTTGTATTCAAGACATTGGCGTTCTGTTCCTGGAGGATGAATCAGGCGACTCTTCGGCCCAAGAAGAAGATGGTTCGGAGGATGGCGAGTCTGACGACCATTCTGACGAATTCAATTTCAATGACCAGCAGCTTGAACGTCGCAGCTCAAACTCGAACGCTCGCAGCGATCTGGCTCCCCAAACGATGCAGTGGGCAATTAGGAACCGTGACACCGCCCGCTCCTCCGTGAGGGTGCCCACCGGATCCAATCTAGTCTTCATCGACCCGATGGCACTGCGACGCTCCACTGTACCGGCCAGCACAGCGGTCACCACTCCATCGATCGAGCCCCACACCATGGCGACAACGGCCAGCAATCTGGCACGGGCGTTCGGGATCACAATAAGACAGATTTCGGAGCTTATAAGCATCCTATCCTACAACATAGTGAATGACATAGAAACATCTTTGAAAATTCAAAGCGATGAGGCAATTGCTGTTCAGGTAATCACTTACAACTATATTTGCGCACAATTTACCAACTAAATATAATTGTAATTTGGAATTTCCCTTCTACAGGCGTTCGTTGAAAAGCGTTTGAAGGCAACCTGGGATTGGATGTTCACGGTGATGGACGGAACCGAGGCTCAGTTAAAGTTCGGTGCTTATTTAACCAACTACACCGATCCCAACCATCCACTGCATCCGCTCAATCTCAGTGCCCAGGCTTCCAGTAGCACAACACCTGCTCCTGCCACATCATCGTCCGTTGGTGTAAACATGATGGGTAAATATGGGCTTTTTTATCTTAACAAAAGTTGGTATTAACATTGTTGTACATTGTAGGATCCAATTCTCGTCGAGATTTCTTCACCTACTGTTTATCTCTGATGCGTGCCCACACTTCTGAGCACAGAGATGCCCTGCCAGTGTTAGATATAACAGCTTTGCGTCACATTGCCTATGTGCTCGATGCTTTCGTTTACTATATGCGCAATGATACGGGCTTCTATGACAAGCAGGATACCATTTCTGGACGTATAAACAATCTGTCGCCAATGGTTGAGAGCTACGATACGGACGAAGAGCTGACCAACCTGGAGGACTTCAGCGCCGACGTTCAGCCATCAGCGAGTAGCCTGCCTTCGGGAAGCCTGGGCACACGCAGACATGCGTTCTTTGCACGATCAGAGTCGACTCTGAGCTTGGGTTGCTCAGCGCCAGAAGGTTTCGACCTGCCACTGGACATGGCCATGCCACTGGCCGATAAACCACACTTGCTACAGCCAAATTCGAAGCGACAGGAGCTGTTCGCCAACCTACCGCTGCTGGTGACCACGAGTGCCAACAACAGCGCTCCCAATAATCCAGGTGGCAGCATTTTTGACTACACACCCACCAGGCTGGGATTCTCGAATTCCTTAAAAAGGAACGAACATGTTTATGAAACAGTCCCGGCCAAACAGTCTGTGGAGGTCATTATCAATATGGATACTAGTAAGGCGGGTGATGGAAATGTAACTTATAAGGCTGAGGGCTCTACAGACTCTAATATCTACGTACAATTAAAAAAGAAACAGGGCTCGGATGATTTTAAATCCCACAAAGAGGCTGATGGTGAGTAGAACTTTTACAAATGCCACCACTGTTATTATAGATAAAAAATTAATTCATTTTACAGGAAATCACAGCAAGTACGACAAAGTTGTGTTAATGGAAACCGATGACAGTCTTCCAAGCACCAGCAAATCGACTGAAGCGTTGATGGCCACACGGCCAGAAGTCATCATTGCGCCAAATAAAGCCTCAGTGTCCCCTGCGACTGCAGCTCGCAGTGTTATAGTTCTCGCAGGTGGTTCCTGTTTAAAGACGATTGATTCGGACTTAAACAATTTCTCGGCTTCAAATTTATCGACCGCAGAGCAAGCTAAATGTGATACGCAGCATCAAAAATCGTCGCCACACCACCCGTTAAGTTTCCCCGTTCGCGGTTCGCTGTTTTACCAAAGTAATTTTTCGGAGGCACCGTCGTGGAACTTTTTGTTAAGTCGCTGGAAGTTAACCCTGGACTTATTCGGTCGGGTCTTCATGGACGATGTGGGAATGGAGCACGGGTCTGTGTTGCCGGAATTGCGCGGTTTCCCCGTCAAGGAGATGCGTTTCCGTCGTCACATGGAAAAGCTGCGCAACGGTCAACAGCGCGACTTGGTGCTATGCAAACTAGAGCGTAACCGTGAAAGTTTAATTGTTCAAACGTTCAAGGAACTGAATACCACGTTTGGCAACCAAAACCGTCGAGCCCAGCCGCCCATCACATTCAACCGGGTGAAGGTTACGTTTAAGGACGAGCCTGGCGAGGGATCTGGAGTGGCCCGCAGCTTTTACACATCGATCGCCGAAGCATTGCTAGCCAGTGCCAAGATCCCCAACCTGGAATCCGTGCAGGTGGGCAGCAGCCACAGCAAGTACGGAGTGCCGTTCTCGAGCATCCTGCGCAGCAGGACGGTGTCGGGGTCTAGTCGTGATCAATCCACTCTGCAGCGGCGTGGAACCAGCAGCAAAATATTGTGGCGATCGGCTCGAGAGAGAAAGGCATTGAACTTGGATGCCAGACCTTACACCCCTATGAATAATTCAGGTAAGGTTTACAATTAATCACATTCCACATTTATACTATAATTACCTGAATTGTATATTTAAATAACTAACATTTTTCTATTGCTTAACATAGATAATGCAATGCCGGAAAGCATGAATGATCATTTATCTGTCCACCTACAACAAATTGGAGAGCGTCTGTATCCCAAGGTAAGGGAAATAAATCAATTTATTTAAAAATTGCAAGTCATAACGAACCTTCTCTCCCTACAGATCCACTCTATTAACCAAACGCATGCCCCGAAGATAACAGGAATGCTGCTGGAAATACCTACGCCTCAGCTTCTGTCTGTAATTTCCTCGGACGAGACACTGCGTCAGAAAGTAAATGAGGCGATAGAAATAATCACATTCAAAATGAAATCTGAGGCCAGTGCACAAAGTAGTCAGCCAAAAAAATCACCATCTGTGGTGCTTGTCGAACCCGTAGACGACGATAATGAGCCATTGTTTTACTCTCCGGGAAAGCGTGGCTTTTATACACCACGCCAAGGCTTTGCGTCGTTCGAGCGAATAAATGCATTTAGAAACATTGGAAGGTATGGTAATGAGTGGTTTTCATTTCTATTCATGACTTAAAAAAATCTTTCTCATCTCTACTCGAAACAGACTAATTGGACTTTGTCTACTGCAAAATGAATTGCTTCCACTGTTCCTGCAAAGACATGTATTGAAATACATTCTTGGGCGTAAAATTAAGTTCCATGACCTAGCATTTTTCGATCCAGCACTGTATGAATCTTTTAGGCAAATTATTCAAAATGCCCAAACAAAAGAAGGCGAAGAAACAATTAATAGAATGGAGCTATGCTTTGTGTAGGTTATTCACCTTGTTAACTTAATATGGCCTTTAAATATTCTTTTGTTTTAGGATTGATTTGATGAAGGAGGAGGGTTGTGGCAACAGAGAGCTAATCCCAGGCGGTCGCGATGTTGCAGTCACATCCAGTAATATATTCGAGTACATCAGACGCTATACAGAATATAGACTTATCAAATCCCAAGAAAAGGCACTTGAGGTATGTCGCCATGTTGCGCTAAATTCATTATTCATATTAATAATTCCTGTTTTACTATTTTAAGGCATTGAAAGACGGCGTTTTCGACGTTTTGCCCGATAACAGCATGAATAGCTTAACCGCTGAGGATTTACGTCTGCTGTTGAACGGTGTCGGTGATATAAATGTTTCAACATTAATTTCATACACTACCTTTAACGACGAATCTAGTGAGGGTCCGGATAAACTTTTAAAATTTAAGAAATGGTTTTGGAGTATTGTTGAGAAAATGAATATTTTGGAACGTCAAGATTTGGTAAGTGTCCTTTTTGTGTCCTCAGTCTGACAAAACAGTTTCTAAAATATGCAATTCTTAAAGGTGTACTTCTGGACCGGATCGCCTGCGCTGCCAGCTTCGGAAGAGGGATTCCAACCATTGCCATCTGTCACCATAAGACCTGCGGATGACTCTCATCTACCAACTGCGAATACGTGTATATCCCGGCTGTATATCCCCCTGTACTCCAGCAAGTCGATTTTACGCAGTAAAATGCTGATGGCCATTAAATCCAAAAACTTTGGATTTGTATAAGCGACTGGAATACTTTCCTTTGTGTATAAGCTTCAAATTCATTTCTTAATTAATTTTAGATTTTTTGAGTTTTGACTTGTCATATTTAACCATACCATTCCCATTTTGGATTTATATTGTTATAAATTTTTTTCGAATTTGAACAATTGTCACTTAACATTTTGCAAAGCGATTGGCGCGAAACTGACGGTCTGGCATGCCCCAACCTTGTAGTAAAAATATGAAGTTTCCAAACAACAAATGTAACCAAGAAAACGGCCAATTAGGTATTAGGAAGCCTATGTTTTAATTATTAAACTTTTAAATAAAATATGTTTTCTAAAGTATGACTTATGCACATGTATATTTATCGCTATCGATTCAATAGGAATTTGAAGAAATAAACAATAAAAATAAGTCCACCCTATGGAAATTATGTATAATATATGAAATTGAACTGCATTTTATTTGGGTATTTTAAACATAGCTTTGCTGCAATGTGAATATGACCTCCTCAGATCTAGATAATTATATATCCCAAATTACGTCCGATCCAGGAATGATGTCAGTTAGAGGATCTAAATTTGCAATAAATAAAAGCATAGTTTGTGAAGTAAAAAATACTGGTTTATTTTTAAGATTACTAAAGGTACTGAACTGATTATGTTACATGTGTATTCCAATATTTTAAATTATTATAGATATTTATGTATAGGCTATATAATTGTTCATAATAGCGAACTCTAGAAGACCCACTCGAACCATGCTCTTGGTAATAGTAATAATCTAGTAAAATTACAAACTACGATTGCATAAAGTGTTCTGAAGACACTTTTTAGGTTATATTTTTACAGTGATACATTTTCGAATGTTTGTCTCTAGATATTTTCCGGTAAACGCAATACTTTTTTTTTATTTCTAGAAAGACAAAAGGTAGCTTTACAAGTGAGTAAAAAAAACGAAAGCAAACTAAAATTAAATCGACCATGTTTTCCCCTAATCTGCTGCATAACAAAAGTATAAAAAAAATAAACAGGCAATGTGATTATTCAATTATCACTGGGAATTTTTCAACTTCCTCACACTCCTTGTTAAAACTGGTAATAAACTCCTTCAATTTAGCCTCGTGTTCAATATCCCTTCGCGGTCGTTTGTTCTGTGGCTGCTTTTTCTGCGGAGAACCAAAGCTTGTTTCGTGCGAGTCCTGCTCGTCCTCGTCCTCAGATTCACTCTCAATGTACAGCAGCTGTACTCGCTTCTTCCGCTTGCGCTGGGGTAGCTCTTTTACATAGGTTCGCCTTGGTTGCTAGAATTGAATTAATTTATTCATTAATTCTAGATAATTTCAAAGAAAGTATGATTCTAAAATATAGTTTTTAAATTAGAATAAAAACTTTCTTCCTTCATCATTTGAGTACTTTTTGTGCGAGCTGTTTACTACCGTACAAAGACAGGCTTGAATCTTTGCGGCCCTGTTGGCTCAACTGAGATCGGTAACATGTCCCAGTTTAGTGTTAATTTAGCTCCATTTGGTCACTATCCACATTGATTTTGCAATGTCGATACTTTCTGGAGCTGAATTAGGACTTAATTATCTAAATACTTTTTGTGTAAGCTGTTTACTACCGTCAAAGATGGGCTTAAATCTTTGCGGCCCTGTTGGCTCAACTGAAACTCGATAGTGTCCCAGTTTGGTGTTAATATAGCGCCAATTAGTGAGTATCCACATTGATTTTGCAATGTGGATGTCTTCCAGGAGCTGAAGTAAACTTACAACCTTAGTCTTACCTTTTCGTCGAATGTTTTTTCCGGGTCGGCCTCGTTTTCCTTAAACAATCCTATGGTCTCTTCTGCAGCCAGTGCAGCTTGTCGTTTCCGCGGCTTTGGCACCGAAATCATCGTGGAGCAAAACACATCTCTGATATCTCGCTGCTTCGAAGCCCATCCCTCTAGGTAGTTGCCACGCGAGGAGGTGCTTGATACCTCTGGTAGCTCCTTATCGCTGGGTCGCAGCTCGCCCAGACGATGCAGTTTTTCATGCAGGGTTTCGTTTTGACTCAGAACAGTAGAAGTAGATGCTACATCTTCGTTCTCTGTGATGAATTCCTCAAAGCCAAAGAGATTTTTTGAATTAGATGCCCGTGTTTTCTTTTGTTTTCTAGGAATTTCATCGTTTGTCTGCGTTTGACTGTGATTTGCTGGAGAAGCGGTCGGCACTGGATAAGTAGTAGTGGAAGATAATTCATTCGAGGGAGGGGTCGACACAATTTGTGGCTCCGTGGATTTGCTCGGTGTACTTTCACATGGCAAAATCTCGTCAAAACCAAAGAGATTCGCTCGCGTTTGAGTGCGATGTGCTGGCGATGCAGTTGCTGCTGGTATAGTGGACACTCTGGTGGAAGAGACTTCTTTCGAGGGAGTGGTCGGCAGATTCTTCTTCCATGATGGCAACACCACCACATCTAGGATGTTAATATCCTTAAAGGGCGTCCGCTTTTGCTGAGTTTTTCGTGGATTCGGCAGGTGCACAAAGTCCGCATCCTCCGCGTTGACAGCATTTTCATGATTATTGAAAGTTGTTGTTTTGTTGGCAGTGGGAGGCGGGCGATTCTCCTCGTTAGAGTCGTTTGCATTTGAGCCATGACTTTGCTCGTGCAAAGCCGGACAAATGGATTCCTCGTGAACGGGCTCTTTAGTTTGCTCCGCTTGTACGTCCGGCACATAGACATGCCTTCGCCGCACATGATCACTGGAATACGACGGCAGCTGGGAGGTGTTGAAGCCGAACATGAAAGTGTTAGGCATAGGTGACTCGTCGGAAACGCGCCAAGGGGATGCCCCACCCGATGGACTCCCGGCTGTCGGAGATGGGCGGGAAATAGGCGATATTGCAACAGCTGAGACATTTGCATTTGGTGCCGGGTGAACCTTGTGAACTATGGGCGTGCTCACCAACTGACGTGCCATGTTAATCAGCTCTCGACGTCTGTTCTTTGAGTTTTGCGGGTTCTGCGTATGCGTTTGATTTAGCATTGCGGATCGGGCCAAATTGCTGTAGGTGCCATCGTGGGCTTGCTTGGAAGGGCTCGGCTGGACATGCACCTGAACGGGCACCTCAGTGGGCTCCATGTACCCTTCCTCCGCAACAACTCTGGAGTCGTCTTCAGGTTCGTAAATGGGCGACAATGGGCAAGAAGGCTTCTGCATGCGTAGTTCTTTGACTTTGGGAACAATCTGGACTGGCTCAGGCTCCTCGTCTTTCAGAGAAACCTTTTTTCGCTTGCCTACAGGTCTTATTTTCTTTTTCATCGGCTTGACCCTTGTTTTTCCCGATTTGGCTGAGCGCACCATCACGCAGGCCTTGCCGTCCTTTACCATGCGCTTAACTATGTCTGCTGCAGGATCCTCCCTGCTATTGTCATCTTCGATCTCGGATTGCGAGAGGAAGTCGAAGACATTGCGGATCACCGATGATCTGGTCCTTGTGGGTGGCTGATCCCTGTGAAAGAAGCGCGATGGTTTTGCGGATGACATATCCTGCGGAGGCTTGTCAGAGGGTGGACCTGTAAAAGGCAGTTTTAAAGAAAACTACTCTATTCGGCTGATAAAATCCACTTACCAGCTACCTCCTTCTTGCTAAACTTGGGTTTCTTTTCAATCTGTACTTTCTGGGGAACGTACATCGTCGAATTGCGAGCCGGCAGAAAAGCGCTTGTATCCACATCGGGCGGAACATTTTGCGATCCACTAGGCACGGCATTCTGCGCGAATTTGGTGCGCCTTATTTTTACCACGCATTTTCTTAGCGGGTAGTGTGGCTCCGATTGGGTTTCCAAAATAGCTTCCTCCGACAGTTTTTTACCACGCAGACGATAGCGTCTTGTTGCGGCCTTCACATCTGATGCCTTGGCGCACGGTTTGGCCTGTGCTTTAACCATTTTATCGAAAAATATTGTTTACAAGATGAAATTCGTGTACAGCTCCCGCCATTATAGTCAGTGGTGTGACCTTCCTTTGATCTTTTAGATATACCAGAACATTCTGTGGCAGGGTGTGAAACTTGACTGGACCATGCCAGCAATATGGTCACACTACACCTGACCAAGTCCCTTTCCAGCACTGGCCACCAGGGATGGAGCACCGATAACTGTCGATAGGCGAACAGAGAACCAGATGATTGCCCTCGCAATAATGTAAAAAATAAATAATTAGCTGTTTCCAAATAATCCAAATTCCAAATTCCTTGCACTAAGAGCTGCCGTGCGTGAGTGTGTCGCTGTGAGTGTGTCCGGGCAGTATCGTGTCTCGCCCCCCAAACAACTACAACTGAAAAATAAGCAAGAAAAACGCTGAAGAAAATCCCCAAATCGAAAATCGAGTGAAAGTTTTTCTCGTCTTTGTTTTGTAATTGTGATTTTCCTGCCTGCCGGCCAACATTACAGGCAATATTGGATCGACGGCTATATCGACGCTGCTGCGGGCGCGGGTGGCTGACGCGATTATAGCAATACCAATACCTATATAGCTACCATAGCTCTCGCGGGCCGATTTCTTGGCCCTATTGTGATTGTGACAGCGCCAGTGTTATATATTTAAATCGAATCGAATCGAAACGCCGTCGCAGTCGCAGTCGCGTTTTCTGGGACTGCTGCAAAAGGCCTTGCGAATTTCTGCGCCAGGTACTGTGGGATGGCACGGGGAGAATCCCAATAAGAAACTAGCGCGAAAACCCCCCCTCCCCACCCCCCTCCTACATACCCACGTACATCGCACGCGATACATACATTTATACACGAGCGAATAATGGCTAGAAACAATTGCAAGCGACCCAGTAGTGGCACCACCACTACCACCACTACCACCAGTACCATAGCCAGCACCAGACCCAATCCAATCCAATCCAATTCAATCCCAGGGACCGAGACCCCCGAAGGCTGACTGTGACGCCACTGGGGGAACCGAGCCAAGGCAGATGTATCTGTGGATGTATCTGCGAATTATGTCTCAGGGTCAAGGACATTGCCTCTGCCTCGCTAACCGTTGTTTGACCTTATTAACAAGTTGGGAATGGTGGTGGCGGGCACCGAAGATGGGAATACCCTTGCAGGTGGCATATTTACAAGGCGCTCTTAGGTCAGAGTGGTCCGATCCTAATTTGTTTGTGTGACGTATCATTTCAATTAGTATTTTCCTAGCTACCCAGCTTAAATTGTATTCCACATCAGCGGATTACATAGCCAAAGGCAGGCTACAAGATACAGGAGGTTTAACATTGAACTAACTTATTTGCGAAGTCTAGGTTATCACAAAAACAAAAGTAAATATAAACATTTAGATCAAATACTCCTGTGACAGCTTTATAATGTTCTGGTCGCACAGTAAGAAATATGATATATCGTAAGTCGCCAGCTTGATTCTTAGTTTCATATTGTCCATTATAATGAATCAACGACATCTATTGGAAATTGACCATTATTGAACCAACTTTTTGAGCCTAATTTAATTGTGATAACCATGTAAACTATATATATGCCCTGCATTCTTATAGACAAAGCTAACATCCCACACCATTCATTAACAGAGCAACTGCATCACTCTGGCTGGCTCCGCGCACAAAACGATGTGCGATACCAAAGACGATGCGCAGAAATGGAAATGTGAAATTTGCACCTACGAGAACTACCCATCCTCGCTAAAATGCACCATGTGCCAGGCTTCAAAGCCACTGCTCAACGAGGACATCTTCCGGTGAGGCAATCCTGTCGAGCTCTAACGTCCCACTCTTGCTAATTATTCAACTCATTTGCAGTCTGAGTCCGGCGCAGGACGGCAGCTGCAATGCGGAGGAGGCGGCTGCCGTTGAAGTGGCCGTAATGTCGCCCACGCCCTCGTCCACGTGCTACTCGCTCCAGCCGCCGAACCAGGCGCGGCAGGTCAACGTGGCGGACAGCGAAAAGTGGCCCTGCAAGGTGTGCACCTATCTCAACTGGCCGCGCAGCCTGCGTTGCATCCAGTGCTGCACGAAGCGCGGCGGCGAGGTGGTCATCGAGCGGGGCAATAGGGACAACGAGGCGGATGCGGATCGCGCTGGAGAGGCATTGCAGGCCCTTCGCATCAGCGGATCGGAGGAGAACCTGGCCAAGAAGCCGGCTCAGCTAATCGGGGCCACGGCCTCCAATCGCTTGAGCCTCAGTCCGGGCATCGACGATGCCACGCACCTGAACAACCTCGCCAATGCATCACACAACCAGTCGCAGTCGCAATCGCAGTCCCAGAACCGACAGCCTGCCCACCAGCAGCAGATGCAGCTCCAGCTGCAGCCTCAGCAGCAGCAGCAGCAGCGGGAATCCTCCTCCTCCGCAGCCGTCCCAGCGCCGCAGCAGAAGCAGTGCTATGTGGCCAAGTGGGCGTGTAACGTATGTTCCAGGCAGGCTATCCTATCCATAGTAACTGAAAGCATCTATCCTCCACAGTCGTGCACCTACGAGAACTGGCCGCGGAGCATCAAGTGCTCCATGTGCGGCAAGACGAGGGAGATCAGTGGGTCGCAGAACGACTTGCACGCCTCCTCTAGCCTTAACAGCCAGGAGGAGCATCAGCATCAGCAACAGCAGCAGCAGCAGCAGCAGCAGCAGCAGCAGCAGCAGCAGCAACAAAACGTGGACACCGTCAGCGTCAACAACTCATTCAATAAGAAGCACATTTACCAACTGGGTAAGGACTGTAATCAGGATTCGGACGGGATGACTGACTAATCGATTCCCCCCTCCAGGTTCTTCGGAAACCATCAACAACTGTGATACGCTGCAGGAGCGGCAGGAGCGCCGCCAGCGTCAAATCCGACGCCAGGTGGACTGGCAGTGGTTGAACGCCTGCCTGGGCGTCGTTGAGAACAACTACAGCGCCGTGGAGGCGTACCTGTCCTGCGGCGGCAACCCTGCCCGCTCGCTGACCAGCACGGAGATCGCCGCTCTCAACCGCAACTCGGCCTTCGACGTGGGCCACACCCTGATCCACCTGGCCATTCGGTTTCATCGCGAGGAGATGCTGCCCATGCTGCTGGCCCAGATCTCCGGCTCGGGGCCGGGCATCAAGCGCGTGCCGTCATACGTGGCTCCCGACTTGGCGGCCGACATCCGGCGCCACTTTGCCAATACCCTGCGCCTGCGCAAGTCCGGCCTCCCCTGCCACTATGTGCAAAAGCACGCCACCTTCGCCCTCCCCGCCGAGATTGAGGAGCTGCCGATCCCCATACAGGAGCAGCTCTACGATGAGTTGCTCGACCGCGACGCCCAGAAGCAGTTGGAGACGCCGCCGCCGGCTCTCAACTGGTCGCTGGAGATCACTGCACGCCTCAGCTCCCGGATGTTCGTCCTGTGGAACCGCAGCGCGGGCGACTGCCTCCTGGACTCAGCCATGCAGGCCACCTGGGGCGTCTTCGATCGCGATAACATCCTGCGGCGGGCACTCGCTGATACACTGCACCAGTGCGGACACGTGTAAGTGAAAGATTCGTCTTTTATATTCATCTGTCAAGAACTGAAGAAACTCTAATACTTTATTGTTTGCAAAAAACCTTGTATGCCAAAACTAACATCTTTGCCATTTTATTGTAGGTTTTTTACTCGCTGGAAAGAGTACGAGATGCTGCAAGCTTCAATGCTGCACTTCACGCTGGAGGACTCGCAGTTCGAGGATGATTGGAGCACACTTCTCTCGCTGGCCAGCCAACCGGGATCGTCTTTGGAGCAGCTGCACATCTTTGCGCTGGCGCATATCCTTCGACGTCCCATCATCGTGTACGGCGTCAAGTACGTGAAGAGTTTTCGGGGCGAGGACATCGGCTATGCGCGTTTCGAAGGTGATTTCGATCGACTTTTGTTTTCCTGCATTGCATTAATTTCTTTGTCTTGCATTCCAGGTGTCTACTTGCCTTTGTTCTGGGATCAAAACTTCTGCACCAAGTCACCGATAGCACTGGGCTATACGCGCGGCCACTTCAGCGCCCTGGTGCCCATGGAACCCTTCACGCGCATCGATGGACGACGCGACGACGTCGAGGATGTGACCTACCTGCCACTGATGGACTGTGAGCTGAAGCTTTTGCCCATACATTTCCTCACACAGTCCGAGGTGAGAGATTATTAAGTTACTTATATAAATTTTGCAATCAACCAAGTTGCCTTTAACTAAATTAATTTGGTATTTAATTCCATCGAAAACAATAACCCTAAATTAAAAAGAGAAAGTCATAATGCCAACTGGGTTTGATATTAAAAAGCACTATATATTACTTATTTTTACCGTTCAGTATTTAGAACAATGAGCTTGTTACAATTTCTTTGTTTCTTCGTAGGTGGGCAACGAGGAGTCGATGATGCGCCACTGGCTGGATGTGTGCGTCACCGATGGAGGGCTGCTGGTGGCGCAACAGAAGCTCAGCAAACGTCCATTGCTGGTCGCCCAGATGCTGGAAGAGTGGCTTAATCACTACCGCCGTATTGCGTAAGCATCACTTGATATTTTGCCAAAGATTAATTACTGATTATTTGTTGACCTGCCTTGCAGACAAGTGATAACGGCGCCCTTCATTCGTCGACCCCAAATCACACACTACTCCAGTGATGGCGACTCGGACGAGGAGTAGATGCGGCACATCCGTCAACCAGCTTTAGATTAGATTTGTGTGCATATTATTGAATATTGAATATCCTTATTTTATACTTTTGGCGATCGCAAGCAGAAGATGTTGAGAGGTGAAGAACAAGTGCAGATCCTACACACTTGCACTCGCAGTTAGCTAAAGGAAACTATAGAGAATACATATGCAAATATTGCAAGCAGTTGAAAAGTTGTAGTTGTAACTAAATTGAAAGCAAACTAAAGGTTAAGCAGCAAAGTACGAAATAGATTGATCGACGAATGTATATCATATCCGTTCCCAATTCAACGCTCGTTGATTTTAGTCAAATTTATTCACACTGGGTCGCCGAGGCAATGTAGACCATATAGTAAACGAAATTGAAGCTATACACTGGTAGATCTATTTACACTCACATCTGAAACAATCCATTAAATGAATACGTGGCCGACAGGCAGAAGAGAACTTAAGCGGTGGAACGCATACACCTATTACGCGCTAATTGATGTGAACACCCACGATACCGTCGACGGTGCGGGCTTAAATTATTACAAATCTCAAAGACCTATTAAATTTTAAACAGGTGGCGAGTACACAGCATAGTTATACTGCGGGTGAATATGAAAGCGTCATTGAAATGTTAATTGATAGTTTTTAAAACACTTTTTGGAATTATTATGAATCATTACACATTCATGCCTATAAATATAATATATATAATTATATAACATATATAGAAATCCTATGGTTCTAGAAAGTTGAACAAAGGGCCAATAACATAATGAATTTTACTCTAACTGTATTATAAATGGAATTTTATCTCATTATTATTTTTGTTAGTAATGTTATTACAATTATTATTATTACTACCTTTTAAGAAAGCTTACTGTGCAAATGTACACGCAAAACGCATAAAAAAGAAATCACTTATTTAAATAAAAGTTTTAAGTAAAGATTTAAACGAAAGCGAATGCCTAAAATGTTTGGTTTTAATTCTTCTGAAATAAAAGAGATTATTATATCAAATATTTTAATTTATAATGACTTGAAGGTTTATTTTATTTTATTTCTTTGTTAGCTAATCTTAATGTATTTAACAAATTATAGAACATTAGAACTTATAGTTATATTTTAACTAAAACACAGTTGACTAAGTATTCAAATTTAAAAATTAAATTATTTTTTCGAAATTTCGGTCTTATAATAATTATAATAATTTTAATTATTTATCTATGTTTCGAATAGTCGGATGAAGTACAGGTTTATTCCCTATGCTATCTCTAGCTCACGCTCTACGCTCTCTCTCTTCTATCCAAGTTTTGCACCAATTCAAACCTATCCACGTTCTCTACCTTTCCGTATTTTGTATCTGTGCAGTACATTTTGTGCCTATTTTAGTGTATTTTTCAGAGCACGATGTTTTTAACGTCCGAGCGGTATCTCTCAGATACTTAGTCGTTTTTTTGCTGCCGTCGGTTTCGTTGCTGGTGCGGTGCGGTGTTTTTCTGGTCGCAGCTCGGATTTGGATTTGAGAATCAGACTTTCAGGCACTTAAAAAGCCACCATTTTTCCCTGTGATCTTTGTCGGCGAATTAAATTTGCGAGTCCACAAGCGTAAATTGCAAAACGCAAAACTTACTTTCGTCATTTGCGAACACAGCAACCACTCTCTTACCGAAATTCACACGCTCACACTCACAATCGCGCTACGCAGATTGCGAATGCATACGGCGAAAGATACAAATAGAAAAAATCTAAGCAGAAGGAAAATTTTGTTAGTGAAGTGAAGAGGAAGTAGTGGTGACCTGTGCGCGAGTATTTGTGCTTTCACCGTGTGTGTCTCTCTGTTCTAGTGTTTGTGTGAATCCCTCCCCCGTTTTGCAGGCGCAAGAGCGAAGAGCATAGCAGTATAAAGTATCTTGCCATGGGTAAGTTATCTGCCGACACACAGATACTCTCTCTTCTTTTGGGTATGTGTGCGTGTGTGTGTCTGCGCAAAGTTATCGAAAGGGGGTGGTGGGTGGTGCGATAGCAGCATTATGGCATTATCGGCCTTATCGTATCGGGAGTGGTTAAGAAGAGGGAATGGTCTCAGGTGTTCTCTCTCCTGTTCTCCCCGTCCCGTCTCGCGCCCTCTCCCCCACTTGGACCCACCGGTGGGTCGGCCATCAATCAATAACGGTCAGCTGAGAGTTGGATCTCCTCCTCGCCGCTCTCTCACTAACACTGCCCCACTCGCATATGATTGTAGTCCACGTCCACTCCCTATTTTAATTTCTCAGCTGCGACCGAGGCGATGACGTCAGTGTTGTTGTAAGAACAAGTTTCGTGTTTGCTTCTTTATTTCATTTTTCGCCCCAAATTGAGGTGATATCGGAGAAGGAGGAGCGAGAAGCTAAAAACCTGACCGAATAAACCTCAAAGTGCTTGTGCATGCACTGCAATTACACACGATACCGTTAGGGCGTCCCCGCCGTGAGAGACGCTCTCGAATAACCTGTAAACCGTTCGATGTGAATGGGCTCTGGGATTCTTACATTCGCTTTGCTGCCATCTCCGGTTGCCGTTGCAAAGGGCTTTTGTACCGCTATTCGAGACATGTACATACTTGTATTGTCAATGATTAATTACTCATCTACTCCGCTACTGGCCCTAATTGAGTTCATGTGCATACACTGGGGGAAAAACAGGTGTAATGCCTTCCACTTTGTGAGGGAAACATTTTAGATAATTTCTTATGATCATTAAAAATCTCGGTTAACTTGTAATATCCAAAATGTATCATTGCATACTTTTTTGGACCTAAGCTGTTGTTTTGAAATTAATAGAGATCTTTTCAGGAGAATTTAGATTACCTTTTACATTTTATTTTATCAAAATGATATTTTTCTTAATTACTAAAGAGTAATAAGATTTAAAGTCTATGAGACATGAGCCAACATACCTCGATTTATGATAAGTAAAAAATAAATATAAAACAGTTGACTGTTTTTTCCGAGTGGATGTGTTTCGACTACAAGTAGTCGCATGCGTGCCTAAAATGCCTAATTGAGTTGGACTTGTGAGGATGGGGAAGTGGACGTGGACGTCCATGTGGTGGACCCCATAATGTGCAGGCGCTCCTCGTCGAAAAAGGCTTAACAATAGCCATCCGAATCTCCATCTCCGGCTAAGGCGGCTACAACTGCTCGACATGAACTCATGACGAGCGCATTGACTTCCACTGGGTTTCCTTTTTCGTTTGGCTCGTTTGCTCGTGCTCAAATGAAAACGAAAGGGGCGAACGACTCCCCGATCACCACCCCCCCGCTCATTCATTTAGTGGGATTTTTCTCATTTATTTTGTCCGTTGATTTGTTCGTCTCCGTCGTGTATTTCATGGTGTTTCGTAGCGTTTCCCAGGCGGGGTTATATAGGTCAGAGCACTTGCATAGAAAGTGGCATCTCCTCTTATGTCGTGTCCCCCATTCCGCCTCCCCTACCCGCCCATTTTCCACCCCCTCCTCCACCCGTTCACTTGCCTAATTGAATGCTATTTTCGTAGACGCAGCGTCATCAGCTGCATTTGTGTGTGGGGCTGCTCTTTTCACTTTTCGTCTAATAAGCATACAGGAAGCACTTTCAAATCGACCGAAGCACCGAAAACTCTAATCTAACTTTAGGTATATATGTATGTACATATATACATACATATGTTCGATGCGTCAGGTAGCACAGCATAAAAAAACACTTGCAGAGCAATTTAAATTTGATGAGTAATGCGGGAAAGATACAAGCATATATTTATGTATAGCAGCGGTCAAGACATGATGGAAATCTGCCGTGCTATTCGATAACTAGAGAGTTTTGGAATATTTAAATATAAACAGAAATTTCCGCATTATGTTTTATACCTGGTATACCTTCTGTAGTGTAACTTTTGATCAACTATAGCTTAAATTTAATTTTTCATACTTTATGTTGTAAAGTATTATATTTTAAATCTTTATTCTTATTATTTAATTCAATACATAAAAGCTTATAAAATCAGGTATGAAATCTTTAATGAATTTCGGAATTCTACTTTAGTGGCCACAACTGTTGATTTGCTTTGCCAAATATACATTTGTGTATATTATGTTGTTGCTCTTCCAAACTAGAAATGTTTGTGCGTACAAACAGAACCATTCGTGGGTGAACAGTGGGCGTGGAATGCACAAGAGAGCGATGTTTGCTTTCGGTTTTATTTATTGTCTGCCAGCTAGGCTCATTTTAAGGCACGTCGGAGGGGTCGAAGTGGCGTTCCCATCGCGCTCCACCTGTTTCCGCCTGTCGCCTTGACCTGCTTTGTCCTCGACATTATCCTGCTCGCATTCAGTCAAGGATTTGACGCACTGCTCCTGGTGAACTCGCACAACGCGCACTGAGTGCATGTCGTGCCAGTGACGAAGGTCGTTTCTCTCTCTGGCTTTATTGGCTTTCCACTTTTCCAATTCGATTTTTCTTGCACACAAAAAATTAATGTGTAACTATGCAGCTTTAAAGTTCATAGTACTTAAAAACTTTGTATCTTCTGCTCCGAAATCAGTAATCAATATGTGTTTTGACATATAATTAGTAAACTCTGTGGAGATTTGAATAAAACTTTTTAAAGAACTCGTCTCGTTTGAAAAAATAAATACTTTATGTGGCAGAAAATGTAAATATTTAGTAAATATCAATATTATTGTTATATTTATATTTCGAAAGACAGTTTTTGTTGTGTATGGCTATATGTTTCCCGACTTATTGCTGTAAGATCTAGATTAAATTTTCCCCTTTAAGGTTAGGTTCATTCTGGCTTTTTGGGCGCGGCAGAAATTAATTAAAATATTTTCGCTGCCCTGCAGCTTGACCTCTCCACATCGGATCGATGGGGCCGCTGAGGCCTGTTCGAAAAATGCGACTGTAACCTTGGACTTGCCCCCTGGCAGCCGGACGGGTTTTTTTTATTATATATTTTCGGACCGACTTTTCGTATTTCGTATTGTTTGTTTGTATTTCAAATTCGAGCGTGCTCCAGCGCAGCCCAACCAGTTTGTTTGCGGGACGGGCCCAAGTTGTGGCAGATATTCGTAGTCGTACTCGCACAACTCCGGAGCTCGAACCTCGACGATGACATCATCACCGACACTAAAATCGCTCTGCGCAATTACAATAAAATAACACTGAAAATGTGCGCTCAAACTTTTATTGTACTAACTTGGAACCGACGACGACGCCGCTTTGCCGGCTCTCTGTTGCATAAAAATGTAATTTTCGCTGAATTTTTTAGCCAATTATCGGGTGGCTGCTAATGCGGGAAAAAAAGAGCTGAGAACCCAATAAACAAAACGCCAAAATCAATATGCAAATTGCGGAAAAATGTGTGTGATTGCATAATAAACAAGCCGAAAGGCAGGAAAACATAAATGAAATTAATTAAAAGTAGCGAAACACGTACACAAACTTTAAACAAACCCGCACGCATACACTCACGTACCGCTTGCTGGTGACGGAAGTCCACGTTGGTGACGAAAGCCCCTGTATCTGTATCTGCTATAGCGCTCATCATTGTATCTGTATCTGTATCTGTACTATCAGGTCGTGTGTCATTCCCACTGGACCGCTGGCTGTGAAAAATTTCGGTGCCGTCACCGCACAAATAAATATTCATTCTTGAATTTGTGTAGGTAGTTTGTCAGATTGACTTTGCAAAGCAATCGATTAACATACATATATTGAGTAAAGGTATTGGGTTTAATATCAAAACAAACAGTGGGGAGAGCTGATAATGAGCACGGCACTCCCTTGAAATCATGTATTTATAATGGTCAGCTTGGAGGGTCTTTTTATGCATTTTTATTTATGCCAAAGTTCATTGCCCTTTGAACAAGATATCCAATAAACAGACAATGAAATATGTTCCCGCGACTGTAACCTTTATCAAAATATTTTCAGTTCAATCATGAATGAAACTAATGCACTTCTTACAAGATTATGGGCTTAAGATTAGAGTAAACAAACAATCAATAAGCTATATCTTGAGTAATTCTCTTGTATTGTATTACTTGTGGTTCTAACTAAGCATTAGACCTCATATAACCGTTAAAACATAAGATAAAGGCTGGTACCGTTATGCGGCATACGTCACTATTATAAAACAAGTTAACGGCAATCATACACTTGAGCACCGGGCTTATCAATAATTTCTATTTTGGAAGTAACCCAAAAAGGCAACAACTTTAGAACAAATTGTGGAAAAAACAAAAAATTCCAAAAGGCCTGAAAAAACAACAGAGAGATGGAAAAAGTGTTCAGACGGCGCGCTAAATTGTGGTTTGGCTTCTATACATACATATATGTATTTATATACCCTCTTTATACGCTGCAACCGGCTGCTTTTAGCCGTTGTGTGGTTGTGCTGTTGTGCCGTCTATTTAATCAACCGCAGACTGCTGCCGCCGACTGCCTCCGGTGGACAAGAAAGCCGCCAGAACAGATCAACACATCAGTCATGGCCAACAATTAGTTTCGATGCGTTCTGCCGTCATGGTTCTGAGTTCTGTGCTCTGAGTTCTGCGTTCTGGGTCCCCTACATGAAAGTCAACGGAAGACAACGGGTTGCCTGTCTCAAAACATATAAGAATATTATGTGGTAGCCTGTAAGCTAACGCATGATAAATGGATTTGTAGAGTCTGTACATAATTATGTGTCACTTTTCTTTTGGAAAGCTCCTCTGTATGTCAAAATATTATTATCAAAACAATATACCGAAATGTCCAAACAATTTGCTCTTATTGTTGGAGTTTTTTAAAAATGTAAAATCTTTACGAAAATACCCTTTCCCATTTATTGCAAAAAAAGGAAAAATAAACCAGCAAACAAATACCTTGGTCTTGTTAGGACATTGATCAAACAGGTGATAAGGCTTATAATTATCTATATGACTTTTGCTCAAAAAAACTGGATAAAGAAATACTGAAGTGCCTTCCAAGAAATCGCTTTGTTTTCAGCGGTTCTCAAAAGGTTGCAATTTTGACCCTTCTCGCATTCTTGGTAAATTTTTATGAATGCAACTTTTGTTATCTTTGCTGCTGAGTGGGGTTCGTTTTTCGCCCCATTCCACCTTGATGTTTATTTGCAATTTACTGGGATATTTCCCACACTTTATATACTGACATGCATGCAAATGTGGAGGTTCCATGTCAGATCTATTTAACCTGTTCCACACTTGTGTACATTAACGAACGGCAAGCGTGTGTGCTGGTTTTTTATATAAATAAAATATCTGGCGGTAAGTGTGTGCTGCCCTTGGCCTTATCAATGATAAGATTAATTGCTTGCCAGGCGCATGAGTCACACCGGCCTAAGAACGATTTACGGGTATGTCGGGGTGTGTAGAATAGTTGGCCTGCCTGAGACTGTCAATATGGGCAAACAAGTGTGGGGGACGGACACACATGTAACTAATCTTTGTGCCATACGATATACGGATACATATATACAGAACATCCATAGACAGACCGATATAGCGATATACCCTCGCACATTCGGAATGGGGCTGCAAACTGAGAGCGGCCAAACGGGGCAAGGTTGGGGCATTATCGCATCACATGCATATGACATCAGCGCAACACTGCGTATACGTAATCTGGCGATAGCGCTGATTGAATGAATTGGATTGAAAGCGACTGGCCCAAGCTCAACTAACCGGTGATCTCTTGTTTCTCCTCCACCCCCCGCCAACAGGTAAACAAAAAATCTACTGTGCAAAATGCACGAAAAAGTGCTCCGGCGAGGTGCTCCGCGTGGCGGACAACCACTTCCACAAGGCCTGCTTCCAGTGCTGCCAGTGCAAGAAGTCCCTGGCCACCGGCGGATTCTTCACAAAGGACAGCGCCTACTACTGCATACCGGACTACCAGCGGCTGTACGGCACCAAGTGCGCCAATTGCCAGCAGTACGTGGAGGGCGAGGTGGTCAGCACCATGGGCAAGACCTATCACCAGAAGTGCTTCACCTGCTCCAAGTGCAAGCAGCCCTTTAAGTCGGGAAGCAAGGTAAGTCATTGTGTACCTCGAAAAGTAGTCAAGTCATGTAGTCTTCAACTCGATAGCCGTAACGTAAATACGTAATCTCTTTGTTGCCAACAACACTTAACTAGCTTGTTCTATACCAGGTTGCACAGAATTCTCTAGAGATATGAAATCAAATACAAAAGTGCCCTTTATTGAAGATTCAAACACCAAATTTAAAAAATGGCTAATCTCTTTATGGTTAATAAAATTGAATAATTGAAGGTGAAATTGGCCTAACGTTCAAATCGAGTTTAATAAATATTAAGCGGCTTTAATTAATTAAATAAATCTATTAAAATAATTATAATGTAATAATGTAATAAGTTTAGAAAATGTTTAGTCTTAAATAATAAAAGTCAACTCTGCATAGCGCAGAAATATATAAGTTCGAAGCTTGTAGCGTTAAGAAGTACTATAAACACAGCACAAACCCAATACAAGATCGGTTTATACAAGGGCTACAGCAATCTCTAAAGATTGGAAGTCAATATATTTTAGTGAAGAAGCTTAAACGGTGGTTTCAAACCAAATAAAAGTCAAGTTTGGGAAGACATATTTTTCATCAAAAACATTCTAATCCCTTTCACATGCACTTTCAGGTGACCAATACCGGAAAGGAGGTGCTCTGCGAGCAGTGCGTCTCTGGGGCTCCAGTGTCGCCCAGTCGCCAGGCGGTCGGTGGGGGCGTCTCCTCGCCAGCTCCGCCGGCGGAGAGTCCGACGAGGGCCACCGCCCACCAGCAGCATGGAGGTGTTGTCTCGCACAAGGCGCACCTGAAGGAGGACTATGATCCCAATGACTGCGCCGGATGCGGCGAGCTGCTGAAGGAGGGCCAGGCCTTGGTGGCGCTGGACAGGCAGTGGCACGTGTCCTGCTTCCGGTGCAAGGCCTGCCAGGCGGTGCTCAACGGGGAGTACATGGGCAAGGACGCGGTGCCGTACTGCGAGAAGTGCTACCAGAAGGGCTTCGGGGTGAAGTGCGCCTACTGTAGCCGCTTCATCAGCGGCAAGGTGCTGCAGGCGGGCGACAACCACCACTTCCATCCGACCTGTGCCCGCTGCACCAAGTGCGGCGATCCCTTCGGCGACGGCGAGGAGATGTACCTGCAGGGCAGTGCCATCTGGCATCCGCGGTGCGGTCCGGGTCCCTCTGAGTCCGGCATCATCCTGAACGGAGGCGGGGGCAACACCTCGGTGGTCGGAGGAGCCTCCAACGGCAACTTTACGGACACCGAGTGCGACCGGATGAGCTCCAGTGCCCTTAGCGAGATGGTAGGTAGTCGGATCTCCGGGAGGCTAGCGCTCCGAGAAACAGCACGAGAATCCAACACGATCCCGAATTTAAGGCTGCTGAGCTTGCAACTAATTTGAATGCTGCAAAAGTCACAAAAAGAGCACTTACACATCCATTACAAAACAAAACAATTGGTCAGGATGGGTGATATTTCAGACCATTTTCAATACTTCTTTTTACTCTACTTTGATCTGTTAAGCAAAGCTTTTATTAACTGAAAGGCTAGCAATAAAAAATAGAAATATCGCCCATCTAAATTTACCACCCCGTGCACCAATTCACACACACACAAACACATGCAATTTATGATTTTATAATTTCAGTTTTATTGCATTTTAGTTGTTTTTAGCTTGCGTTTTTATTTTTCGTTCGTTTTCAGTACATCCGCTCCAGAACTCCGAGTTTTAATGGTTCACTTTATTCCTCTAGCCGCAAGGTTTGTTTTATGATTTTACTTCTACTTGATTCCCCTTCATTTTTTGCCATCGTTTTGAATATGTACTAAACCTCCAAAGAAAAACACACGGCACTGCATGTAGAACACTTATTTTGAGTTAAGAACTAACTAACTAGATTGTTTGTTACAGCACTATCGAACGGTGAGTCCGGGTCTGATACTCCGGGAGTACGGCCGACCCAATGCCGAGGACATCTCGCGCATCTACACGTACAGCTATCTGACGGATGCGCCGCACTATCTGCGCAAGCCGATCGATCCGTATGACAAGACGCCGCTGTCGCCGCACTTCCACCGGCCATCCTCCTACGCCACCACGGCCAGCAATGCGGGCTCCGTGGCCGGCAGCCGACCGCCGTCGCGTCCCCACTCGCGGACCCGCAGCGCCATGAAGGTCCTGGTCGATGCCATCCGCTCGGAGACGCCCCGGCCCAAGAGCCCGGGCATGAACAACGAGGAGCCCATCGAGCTGTCGCACTATCCGGCCGCCAAGAAGCCGCCGCCGGGCGAGCAGCCCAAGATCGAGCGGGACGACTTCCCCGCTCCGCCGTATCCCTATACGGATCCGGAGCGCCGGCGGCGGTACAGTGACACCTACAAGGGAGTGCCCCCATCGGACGACGAGGACGAGAACGTGGAGAATGGCAAGCAGAATGGCAAGGCCAAGAATGGCGAGGAACAGCAGTGGGTGTTAATAATATCATATTATTATAATTATTATTAAAACTCCACTTCCAACAACAGACGCCTGCAACGCGAAGCCGAGCAGCTGGAGAAGCTCAACTCGGGCATCGGTTCTGCGATCGCTAAGGACCTCAAGGAGCACGCCAAGTACAGGAAGTGGAAGCAGAACAACCTGGATCCTCGTAACGCTTCCAGGACGCCCTCTGCTTCCAAGGAGCCGCTGTACAAATTGAGGTATGTAACTTAGTAGGATACTAGTCCTTTTTATATCAGTAGATTTTGTAATTGTTGGCCTATTAAGAATTGTTTTCTTAGCTTGTGTATTTTGCACTTACTTGCAGTTCATATTTGTTTTAATTTTAGATCGATAAGATTGCAAACACTGTAGATTGCAGTAATTCTTAGGGAATGTGTTTTTTTTATTTTAAGACTCGCAGCTGTTTAATGTATTTAGGTATAACACATCTAACACTAAATATTAAAGTTACGCTAAATGTAGAATAGTTTTGTTAATTTTCTGCCGGGTTAGAAAATATGAAAAATTTTATGTCGGTTTAAAATATGTACATTGGCGTGATCAAAAAAAAAAATAATAATTTTGGGGCACAAAAAATCTATTCGAAGCAGTTAGTCTCAAAGTTTCCATACAAATTTCTCATTTGACACGTGAGCCATCTCGAATTTGTGCAATAAAATATCTCCCATGTTAAACCCAGTCAACTTATTAAAATCGGTTAAAAAGGAGTCGAAATATGGAGAAGTCTACGTCACCTGGATGAAAATAAATTTTTGATCAAAATTAACAGTGCGTATGAGTGATAACGCATTTTTCAACCACTTTTCTTTGGTGTACATTAAATGTACAAATTTGAGCCACCCTAATGTACATTAGTATATTAAATCGTATATTTGAAGATCAATCTTATATTTAAGATTCAATGTGTTTTAAATCAACCAAAGTTATGCAACATAATAATTAATTTTTTTTCATATTTGGCTGTTTGCTGTTTAAAATAAAACAATGAACAATTAGTATATATATTTTATAATACATATATTTAACTTTCATTTTCGGCAATTGCAGATACGAATCGCCCATTGGGGCCTCGCCCTCGCGCAATCTGGACCACCAGAAGCCGTTCTACGAGGACGAGATGTTCGACCGCTCCACAAGCTATCGCGGATCGCTTGGCAAATCGCTGGGAAACGCGCCCAGTTATAATGGTAATCCTCTAACCAGTTTAGCCTAAGTCGCGTTTTTCAGGCGATTCGAGCGATTCGAAACCGATACTATATATAGCCCAATTACGTTTATAGCCATACATTCCTACCGATCGCCGCCCAAGCCCGGATACGGATTCAAAACGACGACTCTGCCCTATATACGCAATGGCTACAGCTCCGTAAGTGCTGCCTGTTGCTTTCGATCGCATAGATCAGATCCTCTCGGTGCCGGGCTGTCGGTTGTGTATTGTAGCTTACCCACTACCACTCGAACCCATATGTAGTCCAAAATAGTTATAACTCGATCTGTTGCTGACGGTGTTCGTTTGTCTTTCTCTCACCTTTTAATGCTGCCACTGCTCACTTGGATGAACTAACAATATATCAACTGGTTGGTCTGCTGCTTCATTGTGTGTCTTAATCCTACCTACCCTTCCTGTGCTACCCAAACGAATCTATGTGTATGCCATTGTTGCCCTAACACACCATCCCAAAAACAACCCACATATTAACACCCATCCACACTGACTAAACGTGAACTCAAACATTTGCATCATGAACATCAACATCACTTGAACACCATCTACTCTGCTCAGTGGTGAGTGCGCTGCGCCATGTGCCCAAACCAGGATACGGCCTAGCACCACGCTCCCACACATTCAGCTCCACCACATCCGCTGCGACCACGATGCATGGTGCCACTGTAAGACCGCTTTTGTTGTTGTTATGCCGTAGAGTCCTTTGAATCCCTTTTTTCGGTTAAATGCTTGTTAGTGCCACCTGTTACTTTGCACTGGTTTTTGGTTGATTTTGGTTAATTTGCATGTGACTCGTAAATGCTAGAACCGATTACTAAAAGGATGTCCTTTCTTAAACAGGACTTCTCTTATGGAGGACTTGGCGACAAAACCCACAGCACAGATTTGAGCTGCGGCAAATCGGAGGGTGAGTTAAAGCCTCCTTTTATATCCTGGATATCCTGCTAATATGATCCGTTTGCAGTATCTGTGGACTCGATCACCGAGGGCGATAGACGCGCCCTAATGGGCGGCGACCTACACGCCTCGAGCACTTACTCTGGAGCCCTCTCCTACCACTATCCGCAGGCCGGACTCATCCGTCGCAGTCTGCCCAACATGGCACACTCGATGCTGGTGCACGAACCGGCCAAGATCTATCCCTATCACCTACTGCTAATCACAAACTATCGTCTGCCTTCGGACGTTGATCGCTGTAACCTGGAGGTAGGTTGTAAAAGGCTTAACAAAAATCACAGAAATATATAGAGATTTGAAAAAAAATACACTGAATTGCCATTATCCATCAGTAAAATTAAAATTAAATTTTTTAATCAAAAAATCAATCACTTAAAATCGACAAACAAAAATAAAACAAACGCTATATTGATAACCTTTGGTCAACCTATCCATTTCATTAAAGATTTTGAAATTTTGTAATTATTATAATATTCTTTAAAAAAAAAAATAATTTTTATTTTTATTGTATTTCGATAAAAAAAATTATCAAATGTCATTATTTCGGAATCTAATTTTATTTGTATTTTGTTTTGGTCTTTAAAATGACCATTGTTCTTAAAGGGTATAATTAAAATCAAAAAGTAGTCAGTTTTGTGATTTTTTAAATAATGAAGTACCGTTGAGGGTTTCAAATCTTTGAAATTTTCTTGGACACCCCCGTTTATATTACGCAATTGGAAACTAATTAACCATTTAATTGCAGCGTCATCTGTCGGACATCGAGTTCGAGCACATCTTGCAGTGCGCCAGGTCGGAATTCTATAGGCTTCCTCAGTGGCGGCGCAACGAGCTGAAGCGGCGGGTGAAGCTCTTCTAAGGGCCGCCGGATTCGAGGATAGCTATCCAAGTGGAGGCTGTTTGCGACGAAACCAAAAGAATTCAACTTACCTTAACAACAGATGGTTATTACATATATGGACAAGATGAAAAACAATATAAAATGAAAACGAAATGGGAAACTATGCTAATTTCACAGCCAGTTTTGAAACACGCTTTAAATAGTTGATGCAAGTGAAACCAACTAAACTAAATTTAAATACATAGTTACATTTACAGTGCGGAGCAGCTAGCGGGCAGCTCCTGTTTATTTTTTTAAGAATTAGTTGCGCTAACGCAAAATTGTAACTGAAAACGATATGAAAGGAACAGAAAATCCCAATAAAAACGAAGTGTATACAGATTTAAATTAGTTAAACAATGCATGTCCGGCATGAAAGCTTTTTATACGCAGTGCAAAGTATATATAACGCAAAAATAAACTGGACTTTTTTCTAAATTACACTTTAATTCAATCATGTTAACCGGCTTATGAACCGAGAAATGCATCAAAGAATGAGAAATTAATGTACCTACAGAAAAATCACACAGCAAAAAGCGAAACGTTAGATGTGTGGCATCAAATTTACGCTAAAACATAATGCAAGTTTTATTTATTACTAAATATTTTATTTATTTATTTAAATAGAATATGTCAAAGAATAAACCAGAGATAATAAAACAGGACAAAAGTAATGTCAACGTGTTTACAATTATTCAAACATTTCGAGAATGGTGATTATAAAGTTGCTTAATCATAGATGATGTTTGCCTTCTTCATCGAATCGACAAAGGCTAATAGATATTAGATGGCTTTCTTTATGAAGGAAGTTCTATGGAATGTTTATCTTATTTCTAAGCAGTAGATTGCTAAATTATGGCTACTTTCACTCCAAACTTTGTCGAATCGCTGAAGAACTACCATCTAGGTTTTAATTCGGTGTGTTTTGAGTTCGGGACGCAATTTGTGACTGGAATGTAAAGTTCACAGAATAAATACGTAAATATTGAACTAGATTTCACAGAGCATCGAGATTATCTATATTGCACCATTAATATTGCACTAGTTTTGCTTGTGCAGAGCCTCGTCGGTTCGCAAACCAAAGGTGAGTTGCGTTTTCATCACCGCCAGACTGCTGCCGATGATTTTCTTGTGGTAGATCTGCCGCGTAACGAATCCAAAGTCATCGTAGAAGTCACGCTCGCTTTCCTGCCACTCGGAGATGGTGCATTCCAGCGATGCATAGCCCCCACCAATGCAGTTCTGGACCACTAGCTTTATCATGGGATCCATGATCGTCTGACAGGGGTAGTTGGGATCGATGGCAAAGCGATAGATCCAGGCAGCATTGTAAACGGCATGGTGATTTTTAACACTAATGGCGGCCACAATCCGGCGGCGGAATTTCCTTTTATAGGCCTCGTCATAAGGGCAATTCTCGATGAAGATCTAGTAGCTGGCTTCTTTGGGTGAGCAGCGGAAAATGAAGGGCTCGTAGCACTCGGCCACCAGGGATTGCGAAGGTTTGGTCTGAAAATTGGCCACAGTAATCTACGGATCCCAGCTCTAGGATGGATCAGCTCTTACCCTCATCAGCTCCATTGCCTTGGAATAGAACGAGAAATACGTGCCGGTGAAGAGGCAGAAAATACAAGCGGGCACGGTGAGGGCGCAGAAAAGCAGGGGCACTCCCAGAAATATGAAGAATATGGCCCAGGTAATAACTATGAACTGCAGAGTGATCTGAAATAGAAACATAACACAATTAAAATGTGATTTGGGTGACGATTACCACCGATCCGATGAAGATAAGTCACGCAGCCTCACCTCTCGAAAGCAATAGACGAAAAATGACTTGTTGGAGAACGACATAATGTAGTCTCGCACCAGCTCCTGGCACTTGAGCTCGTCATCTTGCGTATAGTTGCGTATAACAATAAATGGCTGCATTAATGTATTATTAAAAGCTTAGATTAGCCAAACAAAATAAAAATAAAAACACTGCCCAATCAGTGTGTCCAAAGCGATGCAAAATACCACAAAAGTTGCGGCAGCACAGCTGTTGTAAAGGCGTTGCCAGACCATCAAAGAATCGAAACAGCGCTGTTAGTGATGATAAAGTGAGGTGAAAAATCGCAACTAGTTGTTTTATATGTACAATTTTCGTTAGCTTTTTTTATATATTAGAAAATTTAAGTTATTTAATTACTGTAGCAGTATAAAAAGAAATTATTTTATTTTTCAATGCTGTTCAAAGTTTTGCATTTTGTGAGCCCAATCGGTCGTGCTACGTCGTGAGCCTGTGCTGTCACGCTGCCATCTCCCATGCCAAACACTTTGACTTCGATCTGGCACTTTTTCTCATGACGTGTCGGCGAGCCTAACTTTGTTAAACAACCAGACAGCAAAGTCACAGCAAATAGTCGAAAATGCGCGACCAATTCATCAGCCTGGCCCTGCTGCTGTGCGCCCTGCACAGCGCCTGCGGCCTATACTTCCACATATCGGAGACGGAGCGCAAGTGCTTCATCGAGGAGGTTCCGGATGAGACGACCGTGATTGGTAAGCCAGCGCCTAGTGCCAACTTGGTAGTTTGCTAACCCAACTTCCGCTACCTCTGCTCCGTAGTCAACTACAAGGTGGAACTGTACGATCCGCGCTCCAACGGCTTCATGCCATCGTCCCCCGGCATCGGGATGCATGTGGAGGTGCGCGACAGCGACGACAAGATCGTCCTGTCCCGCGTTTACAGCTCCCAGGGCCGCATCTCGTTCACATCGCACACGCCCGGCGAGCACGTCATCTGCATGTACTCCAACAGCACTGCCTGGTTCAGCGGCGCCCAGCTGCGCGTCCACCTGGACATCCAGGTGGGCGAGCACGCCATCGACTACGCCAATGTGGCGCAGAAGGAGAAGCTGACCGAGCTGCAGCTGCGCATTCGCCAGCTGCTCGACCAGGTGGAGCAGATCACCAAGGAGCAGAACTACCAGCGCTACCGCGAGGAGCGTTTCCGCCACACCAGCGAGAGCACCAACTCCCGCGTGCTCTGGTGGTCGCTGGCCCAGACCGTCGTCTTGGTGTGCATGGGCTTCTGGCAAATGCGCCACCTGAAGAGTTTCTTCGAGGCCAAGAAGCTGGTGTGAGGTGCTTCCGGGCTAGAGCATCATCAGCACCACTGCCTGCGGCCTCATTGTTTTGGTGTTTCCCCTCATTTGGCAGGAGTTGCGAATTTCATCGATGGATCGTCACCAGCCAGCCACAGGCCTCGACTCTAAGCACGTTTAGTTTTAATTTCTTGTGCGTAATTTAATAAAATCCATTGTACAAAAAGAGCCGATGGAGCACAGTGCTGCACCCCCACATCCTATCTCCGCTGGGTCAGACAGCCAGTCAGCTGAGCCCGGTCCCGTGACTTAGTTTGCCTCGCCGAGCGTGGCTTGCTCTTATCGGCAGCATCTGGCAGATAACCTGTGGCGTTGGCGTTAACTCCCTAGTTTTAAGCTCGCGCTGCATCGTGACTGCAGCAGACGGCAGAGGCTGCCCTTTATCTCATTGTTTGTTCTGGCGGAGAGCAGTCGTTAGTAGCTCTTGGACCGCCCTGTGCAGCGGTCGTCAGTCACGGCACAGTCACCAATCCATCGGCCAAACAATAAAGCGCGTTGTGGCCCAACAAACGCAACCACCGACGACCCACAAAAGCCGCAACTCTGTAACCCGATCCAGTCCGAAGCGCTTTCGAGTCAACAACTGGCCCAGGTCTCTGCTCCCTCTCCGGTTCAGTTCGTTCACGTCGGATTAGCCGTGCAGTGCAGGCTGTCGAAAATGTTTCGCGCTACGGAAATCGGCAGCGAAGAAAGTGAGTCTGAGGGCAGATAAGATAAGATCTTCAGGTAATCCCCGTCACCTCCACCTCTCTCTGTTTACATGTAGCCCTGCCAGCTCTGGCGGAGCTCACCCAGGTGAGTTATGAAGCGGAGGCACGGGACATCGAGTGGGGCGGCTGGAGAGGAGAACGGGTCCAGTTGAAGAGGCCTCATCGCAACTCCTTGCCCAACTATGGCTTTGCTCCACCGCCCATCCGCATGGAGTACAAGTATCCACGCGCTGTCTTTTTCGTTCTGGCTACAAAGTTCTTCGAAGCTTTTGCGGCCAACGGCATACGCAGTAAGTTTTAAGGGTTTGATCCAAAAACCTAGTATTTGGTTCAGTATGGGTACAATTATTCGGCTTTGTCTGGTCGAAAAATTCCAAAATAAAACAGGCTTATCAGCGGAACAGAAATACAAACACTGGGTGGTATTATTGCCAGTCATAAGGCCTGAGATGCATTTCATTAGAGGTATAGATAAGATGCAAGATGAGGCATTCGCCAACGATTTCAGGCTGGAACCGGCAGGGGATTGGGATGATCAAGATTTAAATTGTATTCCTATTTCGGTAAACAATTATTTTACATACAAATGTTTACTAATTAGGCTTCGAAAGAAGATTTTAAAAAATGTATGTTAGTTTTTAGAAGTATTGAACTTTTGTTCATTAGTATACATTCAAATCCTGTATTTCAAAAATAGTCTTCTCTTCTATCAGTTAAGGGAATCCTTGATAGTTGGCTTATTTATGTATTTTAATTGTGATAACTAAAGTACTGTGTTGGAATAATTTTAAGTGACATTTTCGCCTACCCAAAAGAAAGTTCTCTTTGCATAGAGTATCTCAAAAATGTTTCCGACGAGGTCTCGATTGCGTCGGCCTTCATTTCATGGTCAAGAAATCGAGATTGATTGCAGCTCGACACCCGATTATGCATTATTTAATTCGATTCCAGCCGTTCTCGCCCTCTATCTGCGCGACGATCTCAACTTCACCGAGAGTTTCTCCACGGTGGTGCTGCACATCTTCAACTTCTTTGGCCAGTTCTGCCCCATATTTGGGGCCATCCTGGCGGACAGTTATATGGGCAACGTGCGCACGATCTCGGGCTTTAGTTTCATCTATGCCTTCGGATGGCTACTGCTCACACTGACATCCCTGCCCGCCATGGGAGTCCCCATGGTGTGAGTACACGCAAGTGCCAATTAAAGGATTTAATTGATCCCAGTTTCTCCTCTTAGCCTGCTCGTTTCCATCGCCTTGCTATTTATTGCCGTGGGAAACGGTTCCATCCGGGCCTGCATCACGTCACTGGGTGCGCTGCAGTTCAAGCTGCCGGAGCAAAGCGTCCACCTGGCCGATTACTTCTCCTTCTACTACTTCGTCTGTTATTTCGGCATCTTTCTGAGCAAGATCCTGCCACCACTGGTGAGGGCCAACACACAGTGCTTTGACAAGGCGGAATGCTATCCGGCCGTATTCGGCACCCTGGGCTGTGCATTCTTGATGGCTTGGTGTAAGTAACCATTGGTTTCCATTAATAATTTCCATCTAATTTGTATCCATTCGTGGTACTAGTCATCTTTCTTGTAGGAAAATTCTTCTATAAATCCGAAAAACTGGCAGATGACAATATACTCTTCAAGTTCTGTGGCTGCATTAAGACGGCTCTGGTGGAGAAGTGGCGACGTCGAAAGTCCTCCAAGCGCTCCAGCTACTGGCTCCACAATGCAGTAGGTGCCTACGATGAGGGATTCGTCAGCGATGTGTATCGTGTTATAAGGGTAAGCTATTATTTTATAAGTCTGCTTCAAATAATTTAAATTTTCCTTATAGATATCCAAGCTTTTCATCCCGCTGCCCTTTTACTTTGCTCTGCTGGCGCAACAGGACTCCAGCTGGACCTTCCAGGCCACCCAGATGAACACTACCATACTGGGCGTGACCATACAGCCGGATCAGGCCAAGGCAGTGGGCCCCATCTTCCTGTTCATGCTCATCCCCCTGTGGCAGTACGTTTCGGTGCCCCTGCTACGTCGCTTCTTCAACTGGGAGCTGCAGCCACTCCACAGCGTGACAGTGGGTGGGATTTGCTCCGCCGGCGCCTTCTTCTGTGCGGGAGCTGTGCAGGAACGCATAAAGGTGAGTGATAAACAACAGGATATGTCACCTGTCGCTTGCCCAACCCATCTCGTAGAGTTCCCCCCTCCAAACAGTGAATATTGCCTGGCAGCTGCCGCAGTTTCTGCTGCTGATGATGGGCGAACTGCTGCTTTCCATTCCGGGTCTCCAGTTCGCTTTCACTCAAGCGCCGATCTCCATGAAGTCTGTGGTCACGGCTGCTTGGTTCCTGAACAACGCCTTCGGGAATCTCATCGTGGTCCTGGTCACCGAGCTGGGCTTGCTGAGCTCCCAGATGGCCGAGTACTTCTTCTACGCCGTTGTCATGCTGGTGTGCATCATTCTCTACGCCTTGCTGGCCTTCGACTACACGCTCCAGGAGCGCAAAGGAGGTCTGTATGTGAGGGGCTTGGACAGCGATCCGGACGAGCGGGATGTGCCTAGCACCAGCCGCAGCAGCAGCATCTAAAAGAGATTCTATTCTGTAGTATTCCCATTGCACTTGTAATTTATTGATACACGCACACAGGCAAACACGCATTTAACTGAAAATAAACAAAAGCTAAGCAACCAGTGGTTGAATCAGTCGATGATCTTGAACATATACTGCAGCTCCAAGTTGGTGTCATCCGGCAGATCCGTGCAGTGGACGGCGTTCTGCACCTTGGACTTCCCAAACTTGGCACGCAGTGTGTGTGGTCGTAGCAGCTTGGCAATCTCCGGATCCATTGGTCCGCAGAAGTTGCGGAACTCCTGATGGGCCTTCAACTCAGGATTGGCGCAGGCGATCTCCATGCACATGCACACCCCGCTGGCCAGCTGGGCCACCATGGGTATATACTCGGGCAGGACGCCGCGGTAAACCTCGTAGAACTCCTCGCAGTTGACGCGGGCCATCAGGATCATACGCATGGCCGTCAAACGAAAACCGTTGGCCAAAATCTCACCGATAATGTCGCCCAGCAGGCCGTCCTTGATGCTGTGCGGCTTAATGATGGCCAGTGTGGTGTTCTTGAACACACACTCCTTGATGACGCTGTGCCTCGCCTCGAAGAAGAACTTGAGGTCCATGTCAACGTCATCGTCGTTGTCAGAGTAGTAGAAACCGAAGCGGATCTCCTCGCTCTCCAGCAGCTCCTCCAAGCTGGGCGACAGCTTCACACTGGAGTCCTGTGCCTCCAGTTCGGAGTTCTTGTATCGAGCGCACGCCTTGATGGTCTCCACCACGTTGTCGCCAATCAGCTCCAGGCTAATGCCAGGACCCGCCAGCAACTCGTTCATCAGCACTCTAGAATTCAGTGGTTTAGATACTTTCTTTGGGGCTACGCCTTACTCACGATGAGGAGACATCCGTCTTGTCCTTGCCGGACAGAAACTGAGTGACCATCTTGGGAGTGAACTGAACCATCATGCCCTGGTTTATGTTGATCTTGTTCTCGATCAGCGTTTTGATAAACCTGCCCAGATGCTTGGTCCACATATTGTTCTTGAGCAGAACGAAGCCCCTGGATGCGATAAAAATTACGGATTAATGAGAGGAAGTCTGGCGGTGATTGTCCCTACTTTTTGCGGTATCTGGCCAGGTTGGAGCGCGTCGTGTCGTCGGCATAGTCCACTATATCGAACTGCCGGCCAAACACATTGATTTTGGAGCCCACGAAGAAGTCACGCTGCGTCAGTTCCGGGATCTTGGTGCGCCGCAGGAAGGTGCGCTTGTTTCGCTGGTCAAACTGGGCATACGTAGCATTATCTAGATAGTCTGCTATCAGAGATTAGCTACTAATCCTCACCACTTCCACTGCCTTGTCGGACACATAGTAGGTTATCAAGAAGGTCCTGATGATTCCCGCCTCCGCGTGGTACCACTCGGCCACGAAGGCCAGACGCCGCTCACTCGCCGGAATCGCAGCGGGTTTCATTGCTAGGATTGTGGTTCTGGCTTTATTGTTGTTTTCCGTTTGATCACTTGACAGTAAAGTACTTTATTTTGAGTGAAAACTGTTTGTTTACTTCGCATTTTCAAGTTTGCTTCTTCTTTCCCGCGTTGTCACAGCAACAGAGTTGCCAGCACAATGCAAAACTCATGATATGGGCGCGGTATTTGAAAAATGTATAACGGCATGTTTGTTTTCTTAGATCAAAAGGAGACCGCCCTTTAATACTTTTAATTTAAGCAAACAAATATCTGTCTCTAAACCCCATTAATTTAACAGCAATAGTTTTCTGTAGTCATTCAAATACCATTTAAGTTTTCCATTTTTTATTGTAATTTCCTTTATTTACAGGAAACAAAAATAATAAACTGCAAACAGATTTTGCAATGAATTGGTTGTAGCTTTCCTCTGGTTGTTAAATTCTAGCGTAAAACTTATGGTTTCCCTTGTCGGCGCCAAATCATCTTGTTCCTTGTGTTGCTTCTTGTTAACATCTCTCCTCTGAATACGCTAAATATTCAGCTAAATTAAATGTGGGTTTCTTTGATTGGAATAGTGTTTTATGTACGCATGCGTTTGTTGATGTTCTTATGAGTGACTGAGTGTTCTTTTCTTTTTGTTTTCGGGTGTGTGTGAGGAGTGAGTGTTATGATCGTGTGTTGACTTATGGTATAAGCGCCTCGGCTAACGCTACGACTATGCCAAAATGCTAGACACCATCAACGCGGCCGTCTAGGCAGCTGGCTTCTTCTTGTCGCCCTCACCGCCCTCCTCATCGTCCTCGTCGTTCTGGGACAGGCTCGGGATGTTGTCGTCCGAGTCCTCCTCCTCGTCATCGACGTTAAAGTCGTCGAACTTGTTGTTCCAGTCGCCACCAGGGCTGTTCAGGAAATTGCCAAACATTCCGTTGTCTTTGGGTTCACCTGGAAGGGTTAAATGGGTGTGTCAGGACATGATCTCCAGGATAGAAGCTGCCCAACTCACCCTCCTCGTCGTCGGACTCATCGCGCCACTTGGCAAAGTTGGCTTTCAGGAAATGCAACTTGGTCTTGTCCGTGGTCAGCGAGGACCAGTAGGGACCAGCCGCCTTCTTGGGTATTGTGAATTCCAGGCAGCGGCCGATGTTCTTGCTGGTCACCTTCTCGGGGTCCACCTCGTGGAGGAAGTTCAGTGTGACCTCGTATTTCTTCGACGCATCCAGCACGTTCACGCCCTTGAAGGTGAAGCTGTTTTCCGTAACTCTGTGGGGATTATGTTGGATTAGGACCTGATATCAATACATATATACATATATACTGTAGAACCTACTTGTGTTCGATGTCCTTGCACTCCACATCAATAATTACGTAGACCAAGTCATTGCGCTGGGCCCAGGAAACTGGAGGCGGAATCAAGCTGCAAAAAACGGAGTAAGTTAAATAAACACAAATAGTGGATTAGGAGTGTCCGTGGTGTGGGGAGTGCGGGGGGTCCGGTGTCATGACAACTGGCGTCGTACTTTCTGGAAGCGGGTCTATGGCCTATGCAAATCCCACTGCTGTCCATTTGCATAGACCATACGCCCAGGCGAAAGTCCATGCCGAAAATTCACGGCACTAGCGCCAACCCAAACATAACCTCAAAGACTGGGCCCTCCGATTTGTTCCGCAAATATCGCAATGCAGATGCGCACGAGACACGCCCACCGCAGGCACAACGTCCCGTTCGCCGGACGCCCCCAAGAACAAGGTGCATCCGCCAGGACACGGGGTGTTTTTATTGACAGGAGATCAAAAATGGACGCCGCCGCAACAAAGCACGCCGCCGCAACAAAGAAGCCACAAAAAGATTGGCCAAATTCCTTGAGAATCGGACGCCCATCGGCTAAAGACTCACCCTGCTGCTGCCGACATTCTGTTGCTGCTGCGAATTACTGTTTTTCGGTTATACGGAGCCGGAACACTTCTGACTGACAGCCTGTTTTAGTTACAAAAAAAGGCAATTTCAGTTGAACAAAATTGTCATGCACAAATAGAGCTGATACAAAAATCGATGTTCATTCGATAATATCGATGTTTCGAGAAGTCTGCTGTCATCGATGTTTGTCCTGAAACTATCGAGTGGATAGACTTCCGTTTTCTTTCAAAATCTCGTTTTAATTGTATTTAAGTGTTCAAATTTTAACAACAGAAAGGTTGTTTATCATTAAATTTTAATCAATTTTTTTGTAATACAAGTTTATGTTTTTCCCGGCATGTCTTAATTACAAAAATAGTTATCGATATACTCCGTTGAGATAGGGGTGGCCGCCTTAGTTCAAAAAGTGCTCACGATAGTTAGTAAAACAAAGGTTAAAAAATATAGAAACATATTAATAAAATTGTAAAAATTTGGCAAATCGTGTTGTAGCGTTTTTTAAAAAAAAAACTAAGATTGTGGTACATTTGAATATGTATTAAAAAATAGTCCTTACACTGTAATATGTAAAATGTATAATTTGGCTTGATGGCTAGTGGATACACAAACCTATTATTTATGTATGTGTAAACTAGTCAATGTGAGCTATAAAAGATATTTCTATAAGGGATCAATTATCAATAAGTAAATGCCAGATTTAACTGCAAAACAAAAATCATATTTTTTTAATTATAATCATTTTCGAAGTATGCTTACGCATGTAAACAATACAATTTAATTTTTCAACATTTTTTTTCTACCACAGGCGGCAGGTTTTGGCAGCAGGCCGCATTCCACTTCCGACGGGGCAATCGTAGGCCTGGAAGAAGTCCTCGCTGTTGGATAGGGCACCTAGCATCCGGTACTTTTGGATTGTGTGCTCATCGGCCAAGTCTTTCCAGTAGTGCTCCTCCTCGTACTCGGCGCAATACACCTGCGTAAAGCCCAGAAAGAAAAGTTGATCCGGCGTCAGGTCGAGTCCCGGCATTCGCTCGCTGATCTTCTCCTGCCCAGGCTCCTTCAGTTGTTGTTCCATGTGGCTGCGGTAGGCCATCATAGCCTGTCTCAATCCCCCATTGTCGGCGATGTTCTCGTCTATTGTCTGTTTTCCATCGATATGGCGGTTGATCTCCGGTATCAAGTACTTACCGTAGTGGTTTATAAAGCACTCGGCGCGATCCTCAAAAGCCATTCGCGACTTTTCCGACCACCAGGACCGACTTTGCGACTTACTGTCAAAATCGGAGCCAGTGACGTCGAAGCCGTGGGTGAGTTCGTGGCCCACAATGAAGCCCAAGGTGCCGAATTTCAGAGAGAGCGGCCAGGAGCGATGGTACACAGGTGGTTCCAGCATACCGGGCATCACGTTTATGGAGTTGTCCAGCCTGTAGTTAATCGCCGCTACCTGCAACCCCAAATAAAGTTTTTGTGTCTTCGTGTCATTCGCCAGTTCCTCAAAGTGGAGGCTGCTGAACCGTTCGCTGGCGACCGCCAAACGCTGCACATTAATGTTGGTCTCCGCGAAGCTGTCCTCGACAATTTTCAGGCTGCCGATCTCGCTGATAATACGATCTGTTAAAGCGTTGTTCTTGAGGGACCCAATGCGAGACTGAATGGTGGACTCCTTGAGCAGAGCCTCCTTTCGAGTCTCCGCATCCAACCAATCGGCTTCCTCAAGTGATCTTCGAAGGCTCTTCCGCAGTTCCTGGACAATTTCAGACACTTCCAACCTTTTGGCCTCAGTAAAGGTGTCCTGTTAGCGAGAAGTGTGAAAAAATTATTGAAGCAGATCGTAAAGTCTAGTTAACTGTTTAAAAAATGCGATTTGATGTCTGCGCATTGACTTAAAAGTTTATCACACATACGCACTGTTGCTTTTTATTTATTTTTATCCAAGTGCTGCTTGGTATTCCATATTTTGATTTATGCGAGATCAATAAGAGGGCAAAGTTAGAGGGAAAGATTCCTTTGCGAAAAATTCAAGCTGGCTTTTATTATTTATTTATTTTTATTTTTTTTTGAAAACTTTGAGGCCATTGCGCAACGCTTTTAACTTAAAATACAATTTTGTTTGGTTTTGAGCAGCATACATTTTTGAGCAGCAAATACTACCATATGCAATGGTTCTTTTGAACCATCCAAGTGCTTACCGTCATATAAAGCTTGTTAAAAAGGTAGGACATGGAGATGTACAGCGTTATCGTGCAATAATCCCTGTGCTGTTGGGGCGCCTTCAGCTTAGGGTCGAGCTTATAGAGCAGCTGCATGGCCAGATAGTTTGCCACTGCCTCAGGATGACGGGCGCACACCTTGTCCAGCTCCATGTAGTAGGGGACGCACAGCGAATTGCTGTCAGCATGGAGTCCGCCAAAGGCGATGTCATAGAAATGCTTGCTCTGGGGAAACAAGCGCTCAACCACAGAAGAGGAAAACTCTTGGCACTGGGCGGGCACTTCAAGTACATCCCGCCAGAAGGCAAAAACCCCGGCGATCACTTCTGTAATTTTATCCTCGGGCAATTGGAACGCCCTAAGGTATACGCGCATCCGCTCCTCGTTCAACCGATATGCTCGAGAAGTATTGCTGGCAATGTTATCCTCTTTAACGATGTGATCAAATCCCAGATCCGGCACTCTGAAGTACGGCTCGAAGGGATGCAACGGAGAGAGTGCTTCGCGGATCAGTCCACTGGCTCCGTAGTTGGTCAGATGGGCGCTCATGTTAAACCAGCTGAAGTTTGAGGCATTCCAGGCGGCACCATCGACGGCGGGAAAGCCTCCGATCGATCGAATAAGACTCAAGTAAGCGGGATCGGCAGCATGGAATGGGTAGAGATCTGCTGCCATGCAAGCGTTATAGAATCGTTGGGCAACCATCAGTTCGCTGGACACATTAAGCGTCTGGGCCAGATCCATTCTGTCCAGGAACTGCTCCGTGATGCCACTCATTGTGTAAATGATGTCGTAATAGCTGCTTCGCTTGCCCAAGAAGTACCGATCTGGCTTCATGTTGCGATAATTTCCGCAGGCGTACTCGTAGAAATTTTCACAGGGCTCCACGCTTAGGTTCATGTAGGATTTCATCCGGTCCGAGTAGATCTGAAGGTCAGCCGGGTTATCACTATTATTATTATCAGGTGTGTCCACCACGCTTCTGGCCTCGCAATCCATTAGGATAACATAGATAAGGACTCCCCACAGCATTGTGGACCCTAACCTGAGCCACAAAAATATCATTTCGGAGGAATATAGACTTATTTAACTACTTAGACCGCTCAACTGCCCGACTTGAAACGCGATTGAGAACTGCCTTCTTAGAAACTTACAATCACTTATTATTTATTGCAAAAGCTTACCTAAGCGAGCAGTGATCAAGAGATTTAAAACTCTTATCAGTTTGTTTTGTACAAAGTGCGCTGCATTATTGATAATGTAAAGAGTAATGTTTATGTTTTTAATTTTTAGAAACTTTTAGAAAGAGTTTAAAACCACTTAAAACTTATAAACATATAAGACGCAGGTGTCAATAATAACGTTTATAAATTAATCACTGTAATAAAGATGAAATATTGTGTCATTATTAATAATGCAGTAAGTAAAGTTTAAGTTTATAATATGTAGAAAAACAAAAGCGAATAAGAGAAGTAAAAGGTAGCAGTACAAATATTATAGAGAAATTGAAATGGAAATTTGTTTCAACAAAACACCTCTTAACGAGGTTAAAAATCGTAACTTTAGCGCTAACAAGTGAATTACTAGTTCCCAAAAGTAGTTTCGATCGACGGACTCAGTTCGCAGTTGCCTTGGTAACTTGGCACGTTTTTGGCCTGTTTGTTCAATTAAGTTTTCAGCTTATAACAATTCACGGAGGCGAAAAGTTGTGCAACGCGGAAGAGATTCAGAAAATCTAGTAAATCTATAATGATTTTTGATTAGGTGCACAGTTGTGTGCTCCGGTTTGTGGTGAATTTGCTTTTTGCATAGAGATAGAGTTTTGGCAAGATGTTCGTGCAGAAGAAAAAGCTGGTTGAGCATGTTTTGGCAATGCGCGCCGAAGGGGGCAGTAGTGATGATGATGAGGAGGAGGAGGACCAGGGCGACATTTTGCAGGTGCAAATCACTAATTACTAGCCGTATCGAGCGTAATGCTAAATAACCATTATCGAATGTTGCCTTAGAAAGCCAAAGTAACCTGTAATGCGTAATGCCCTAGATTCCAAAAGCCCATTGACTGATTACGTAATCGCAATTCCTGCAAGTTGCAACTCTTACTGCGTGTAAAAATCGCTCTTAGTTGAGGCCCCATGTAATATCGACCTAATACACTTCTTTTGATTTCTTTTTAGCTGAGTAACTAACCCAAAATCCACCCAAAAGCATCTGTAAAGACCTTCACTCCCGTTGCTGCAAAACCAAACCTAGTAAAATATTACGAATTCACCTTTTTAACAACTATTGTATAGCATTTGCATTTGAAGTTAAGCACTTTTGGTTTTTGTTTTACCAACTTCCTGTATTTGTTGTCATTTGCTATATATGTACGTACAATTGTTGTAGATTTTTGAATGTAGACTGTTGGCGTACGACTATCAATTAGTTGCAGCGCATTTTAACTGTTTACAAACATGCATATGCATATGTACCATTTTTGAAACTAACGAATTTTTGGTCTCTTTCATTTTTGAATTTTGAAAAACGAACCATTTTGTAAACAACAAATTGATTACAACATGAAATCAATAATACATTTTTGTTCAAACAAAACATTACCACTTCCCCGCACTGCAAAATTTTGATCCTTAAATTATTTTCTGGAAATCAAACGGTCCGGCGCATGTCGGTCCCGAAAATCCGGCGAACATAACGTTAAACACTTGAAATGGACCCGGACGAAGCGCAGCGCCGGCGGGAAGAATGCGAGCGCAAAGCCCGTCGAGGGGAGATGGATCCCCGGCTGGAGTTCACCTTCCAGCTCCTGATCGACGCCACCCAGCTGCCCAGGCATCAGCTCATGGACTACATATTCGAAGGGGACATGGTAGGCGTATCAACCTTCTCTGTGCATTGGCCTCTTAAGTTTCCGATGTCTTGTGTCTAGCTCGACGAGATCAATCAGCTGTTCCTGCCGAACATGAAGAACAAGCTGCTGTGGTTCTACCAGGAGACGGATGACCCCGAGCCCACGCCAGTGCCCGATCCGAATAAGCCCGGACCCTCGAGATCTGGAGTGGCTTCCAGCAGCTCCAAGACGCCGCAGGGTGAGATATTTTTATTTCTGCAAATCGGCTATTTCTAACCGCTACTGGTAGATGAAAGAGGGTATATTGTATTCAGTAAAACGTGTGTAACAATAGGAAGAAAGCATTTCCGACCCAATAAATTATGTAATCTATATCTTCGGGACCTCGAAAATCATATAAGCCACAGATCGATAATTTTAATTGAGACACAAACAAATTTTCCAAATTAAACCTTTCTTTCAGAAGTTATTAAGAAATGTTGTTTTTGGTGACCCTACAGTTCGGCAGATAGCGCCAACTAAGTCATTGTTGTTGTTGTTTTCTGAGCTCCATTTTATTAAAAAAACTCGACTATAGAGTTTCTCCTTACTTTAATTGGCGAAGATCATTAATAATTAATGACAGTTTTATTGGGTTTCTAATGGCTCATATGGGAGTATTATTAAACTGTCGATCTATGAAAAATCACATTCTCGATTAAATTTTAGAATGCTCTTACTAGATTTCAAAATATTACTTATATCCCCCTAAAAAGGTTATATAATTTTAGATAAAACGTAACAGAATCGAAATAATTAAGAAAATAAAATATTTAATGCTGATATTTCAATGAGCAAGCTTAAAACTACCTCAATCTTTTATAGTAACAGTAAAGCAAAACAAAATGCTTGTAACAAATGTATTTTCTTTCCAGGTGGTGCTTCTCCCAGTGGATTGCCGCCACCCAAGCACAAGAAGCTGTTCCTTACCGATGGATGGACTTGCGCCTTCACAGGAGTTTGTATTTACATATTTCGGGTGAACACGTCGAAGCAGCTGCCGGAGGAGGGATTCCAGAAGGATTTGTAAGTACTAGAATAGTGTCTCTGAAAATATAGTTTACTTTATTAAAACTTAAAGGTATTGCGGAGTGATCGATGCGAAGAATATAGGGCTAGTTACCTCCATCGAGCGGATTGTGGAGTTCGTGTTCATGCAGGCTCTGGCCTTTCCCAGTCTGGAGGGCGACGAGGAGGACGTGAGCTGCGGACTGATCAAGGGACAACTCCTGCCGGGATTGAGATCCTTCTGCAGCGCCCTGCGCGTCTGCGAACAGGTGTGCGACCATCACAATGTCTTCGCCGACGGCTGCGACATGTTCGAGAAGATCGACGAGGTGGAGGAGGTGAAGGACATGTCCAAGAACCAGGACTTCTGCGCCCAGCTGGAGGAGCGCGTGAACAACTGGACGAAGGGCATCCTGAAGATTCTCGGGGAGAGCGAGCAGCTGCGCAAGGAGAACGACCACAGTGGGCCGCAGGACGAGCTGGAGTACTGGAAGAAGCGGGGCGCCCAGTTCTCCCAGCTCCTGGCCCACCTGCAGGACAAGGAGGTGCAGTTCACGCTGCACTGCCTCTTCCTGGCCGGCTCCCGCATAATCAAGCAGTGGAAGGAGACCGACCGCAAGATCACCTTCTGCTACAACGAGGCGCGCGACAACTCCAAGTTCATCCAGGCCATGGAGACGTGCTGCCACTCGCTGTACCTGGACGATCCCGTCAGCATGAAGGAGTCCATCCTAAGCCTGCTGCAAACGGTGCGACTCATCTACAGCGTCTCCCAGTTCTACAATACCTCGGAAAGGACATCCGCTCTGATGGTTAAGGTCAGTTTTTAAAACCTAACATTTCTCAAGCTCCAATTATTGGATGGCATGTTTCAAATATTTAATCATACCTTTTCTGTGTATTAGTATAAAAATTTACTTTATTGTTTTACTATTTTTATGATACTATACCATACTATTTTTTCATAAAAGGTAACAGGCTTTATTTTGACTGAGAACAAAGAATTAAAGTCTAATAAATTGTGGCTTATAAATTATTATATATCTTTCAATTTAAATTTTCTGAATGTTTAAATTTTATCCACACTTTTCTTTGTGCCCACTTACTGTCTGTCATTTTAAATATAAGTGCTTTTTATTGACATTATTTGTTGACTTTTTTTCTCGCCTTTGACCTTTGACCTTTGGTTTGTAAGTTCATAGCTTTCTGAATTTAATCCTTAAGATGAAAAGCAAGTTTTTTTCTCCACTAGATAACCAACCAAATGATTGAAACCTGCAAGTCGTACATCACCTGTCGTTGCAAGGAAACTATTTGGTCCCAGGATCGGAACTTAATCCGTACTAAGCTGAGCAACTGCATCAAGTTGAATCACATTTACCACGAGACCTACTACACAGTTAGGGAGCAGCCCTTTCTGCCGAATCAGACGCCTTTCGGCTTTTCCGAAAACTTTGTCTTTGGTAAGATAAAGCACATAAAAACTCAACACAAATCACAAAAACTAATGAAATGTTAATTTTCAGGAAAATTTGACACCTTTTGCGAGAGGCTATCCAAGATAATTAGCATGTTCAATTTGATCGATGACTACAATCACTTGTTTGAACGGCGACTGGAGGGACTTCTTCTGGGCGAAGCTTTGGAGGATGCTTCCAACCACTTTGAGGAGGCCAAAAAGGATGTGACTTCCCGGAAGTATGACTACTTGGATCACCGCAACTCCGATTTCAACGTAGATTTCGAGCGGTTCATTCACAAAACGAACTCCCTGAAGGACACCATAGCCACTCTCATCGAAACGGACTTCGATACCGTCTGGGAGACGCCGCAGTGCATCCGTTTCCTGGTCCGCTTCGAGAAGGTCAGCGAGAAGATTCCGTTGACCAAGATGGACGAGAAGTACACTCGAATCCTGCGCTACGTGGAGAAGGAGGTGGATCGCATCCTGAAGACGTTCCGCAAGCAGCGCGACGATCCCCCGCTGGCCAGGAACTTCCCACCCATTGCTGGAAGGATTCACTGGTGTCGCGCCCTTAGTCTGCACATCACGGAACTCATGGACGCGGTGATGGACCACCCGGTGCTGAGCAACCTGCCCATGGCCAAGGACCTGGATGTGCGCTACCACAATGTGCTCGGCGTGCTGCAGGAGTACGAGGACGAGATTGTGTCCATTTGGCTGGACCAGGATGTCAGCGTGGCCGACGCGTGCCTGCTGCAGCCACTGCTCTGTCTCCAGGGGGACAAGTTGTTTGTCAACCTGCACCCCACCATCCCGCTGCTCATCCGGGAGGCCAAGATGCTGGCCAAGCTGGACATCGAGTTGCCCATTGTGGCCGCCACGCTGATGAGTCGTCAGCAGTACTTCATCACCATCCAGGATTCGCTGAATGTGAGTGGCCTATTTCAATTATTTGTGATTTAACGACTTAAAAAAGAAAAGTTAAATGTTTAGATATTTCCGAGAGTGTTTTCTTAATAAAAAAAATAAATATCACGCACTACATTAAATTTTCGTTAAACTAAGCATTATATTTCAAGTAAAACTAAGTTTATGGCTTTTGTTCACCTTTATACTTTTGGCATTTGATGCGGTGAACATATTTTTTTTAAATACAAAGAGATATGTGTGCATTTATTACCATTTTTTGCATGTAGATGCCATGAATTGCTATCGTTTAAGAATTTTATAATGAATTGTTATTTATTTATATATATTTTGTATATTTTGCACCATTTTGTTGTACTGTGTAATCCATTCCCGTTCCCTAGTGCCTTATAAAAATGTTCCTGTCCACTGTGCGAGCCGTAAAGCTGGAGGTGCGTCCCTTGTTCCTGCCCCAGTTGGTTCGCCTAACGGCCATGCTGAAGCCAGGATTACACACAATCAATGTGAGCCAGTCAGTGGATGGATACCTTGGCCACTGAATTAACATTCAATTTATCTCACTTTTGCAGTGGACAAACCAAAACTGGACCGAGTTCTATGAGCGCTGCAAGCAGGCCATCGAGAATTTCGAGGTTCTGGTGGCACGTGTCCATGACATCTACTCCAATCGCATTCTCAATGTGCTGATGTGGATGCAGGATGTCTCCTTGCAGATTTTACCAGCAGGTTCGGTGCTTTAATTCTTCAAATTATTCACGTCCCTCGTAATTGTATGCTGGTGAAAACTTTTCACATTTGTTTCTCGGGGCAGACGATGAAATCTGGACAGTTGACGAGTTTCTGGAGAGGAGCGAGGAGGCCTGCCGGTGAGTCTGATTGTGACATGTGCTCACAAAATTCATTAAACTCTGTTTCTCGAAAATGTGCTGTAAATGTGCAAAATCTAGGGGGAACTTCTCAACTGTCTGGTCTAGACTTTTGCGTAGACCACTTTTAATTTATTGAGTTTATCTAATTTTATGTGCGTTGTGTCTTAGAACTGTGGATGATTTACAAGCCTGCCATTATTATTTCTATTTTAGAAAAGCGGCCATCGATCTGAACCGGAAGAGTCAAATGGTCTCCGAGGCTGTGGAAGAGGTCCTCAGCTTGGTGGACAAAGCCACGGCAGCCTTCAAGGAGATAGCCGGCGATGATGTGATTACTCTGTTTGATGGTAAGTTGTGGGAAGCCCAGGGAAGGAGTAATTGAGTGCCACCCATTGAGCAGCAGCCACTCCGAAGGGAGAGAATTCGGGATCGGGGGGACGCAAGACGGAAGATGGAGGCGGAGGCGGTGGCGGTGGCGCAGGCGGAGGAGCTGCTGCCCCCACGACCAGTGGTGGCGGTGGACAGCAGCAGGACTGGAGTATCCTGTGGTCCTGCTTCGAGAACCCTCTGTCCCTCTTGTCCACCTCAGAAAGTCTACCCAAAGGCATGCAGGTAGGAGGACGTTTTACCAATTAAAATAAAATTCTGTAAATGACATACATATGTTCTGCATCCTTTGAAAAAGATTTGTGGGTGACCATTTGAATTTGGTTCAGTTGACTAATTGTAATTTAAACATGCTGCACCCTCCTTGAAAAACAAGTTTTGGGTTAACCATTTTAATCTGCTTTACAGAACTCATTGTATATGATATTATAAATTAAGGCAAAGCAATTGAAACCCAAAAAGTCATCACATTAGTATGAAATCCAAAAACATCTTGAACATAGTGGTTTTTTATGCTCTATCTTCAAAAGAATCAAATATATTTAAAATTTGTATATTAAAATTACTTTCTAATCTAACAGTCTAGTTCATTTTTTTGATTTTCACAATTGCTCTTTTATCATTCATTAGTAATTGGATTGGATTTTAAAAGCTATTTTAGTTGTGGTTATTTTAAATTCTTAATTACGTTATAGTACTTTCTTGCTGCTTATTTAAAATGTTTACTATTAGTTAGTGAGAAACTTTAAGAGTTTTACCAAAAGCTGCGGATTTTGTGCGGTTTGTAACGTTTGCAGGACATGGTGTGCAACGCGGTGGTGGAGATGCGCCGCTACTACAGCCGCAAGGTGATCGACGTGCTGATCAAGGTGATCCGGGCCGCTCTGGACACCCTCCGCCGTCGGTTCATCGCCGACGAGAACGAGACGGTGTTCAAGAAGCCGGTGTTCGCGCTGCACGCGCAGCTGCAGATACCCCATGTGGTGATTAAGCCGAATCTGGACGAGCTGCAGGACTTTTTGGTGACGGCTGGCAAGAATATCACGGGCATTGCGAAAGGCGTGGCGCAGTGGAGCAGCGGCAAAGATCCGCCGGTGCGTACCGCCCCACTGAATAGCTTCGCAATGTTCTCCAAAATCTTGTCTTACCAACCGCAGCAAGTTTCGATGACGGCGACGCAGCCGCGCGTCGGACGCAACCACAATGAGACGGCCGGCGGGGGCAAGAGCCGGCGGCGCAAGATCTACTGTCTGGCCTCCGAGGAGCGGCCCCAGATGCCGCACATGCTCAAGAGCTTCTACTCGGCCATCATGGACAACAAGGAGGTGGCCAAGGCGGTCAACCAGCTGGCCAGCTGCACCAAGAACGTCAAGCCGGAGATCCAGACGTACATCAAGCGCTGGAAGCCGTACCACTTCCTCTGGAAGAACGACCGCACCACCCGCCAGCTCATGGAGTTCGGCCTGCAGGAGTTCGAGACCACGCTGCGCTGCCTCTCCGACCTGGACGCCAATCTGCTCGTGGAGCCGGACATGGAGGTCTTCGGCCAGTGCGTGGCCGTCTACAACGAAAGGCTCAAGTATGGTTTGGCCATTGAAATCAAATGTAAGTAGTTGAGCTAGTGTTCGAATTTGTCGAATCATTTCAGACACCCATTGACAATCTATAAATACCTTTCTAAAAGTTTCAGTTTAACAGTATAGGTGTTCATAAAACAATAAGTGTTTACTATCTGGTTAAAATAATTTTGATTTGAATAATATTTGTGTCGTTTAGGTGTTTACTTTTATTTTTTTTTAATTCTTTAAAAAGATTTCTGCATATCTTTTACTTAAATCTATAAATCTATTCTGTTTTACTTTATTTATTAAATTTAGTTCAAATTCTTAGATTTATTAAAACACATTTTTTAAGCAAATATTCCTTATTACCTGAGGATTATTTATTATTAACAAAAATCGGATTTTATTGGGGATTTCATTGTGAAAGAAATAGACAAATAATAATGAACTTCTGAACTTCTGTTGTTCATGCCAAAACCAAAGTGTAATTGATTCATATTCTAAAAATATATATTCAACTTGAAGTACAGATCAAATAACTTAGTCATAAACTACAAACCGAAATACTAGACTAGTTTTATTAGTCCTGAACTTGTGGCCAATGAATTCCTAAACAAGAAAAGCCCTTTAATGGCTAAGCAAACATTAAGGCAAACTTTTGCAGCCCACTCCTCCATGTGTTGCTGCTAGTTTATTAAATCGACCGACAACGTATCTTCCAACTCCTTACGCTCGAGTTAAGCAGCCATAAATTTCGGACACCCTCGCGAATTCTTTTGTCTGGTCGGATAGGAAGCTATTCAAATTGATTGGACTCCAATTAGGCCATCTAATTTGCCTAACCGAATCAGGCATCCCAAAAATAAATTCTCCACACTGTTGATTAGCCGGGGAGTCGAGGGACGCCGCAGGATGTGGGGTTCTGTGACCGGGTGAGGACGAATCAGCCCTCGTCGTGGCCCTGCGTTGATTAATGGCATCGATATCATTGAGCTCCGCTAAATGGATGTCGGACTAGGGCGGATAAACACTCGGCAACCGTTTCCATTTCCAGCCTGCAACCACAAAATCGGACAGGCCATGAAGAAGAAGTACAAGAAGGAGATGGACTATGTGTATGCGGTAATCAACGAGATGGATCGCAAACTGGACAGGCCCATCCGTGACCTGGACGATGTGCGAATGATAATGGAGACCTTGGGTAAGATTCGCGAGCAGGAGGTGGACATGGAGCTGCGCATCGATCCCATTGAGGTGAGGCCGTCCGAAGGACCAAACTGAGCTGAACTTTGATTAGATGAAATGCATAATCACTGCCAGGAAGCCTTCAATGTCCTCACCCGCTACGAGGTGCAAGTGGAGCGGGAGCAATTCGATCTGGTGGACAACTTGAGGGCCACGTTCCAGAACCTTTTGGCCGGCGCGCTGCAGGCACAGGTCAAGCTGCTGGATATGCAGCCGGCCTTCCAGGACGATCTGCGCACCAACCTGGACAACTTCAAGCAGGACAAGATCTCGTACGTGACGGAGTACCGCACGGCAGGGCCGATGCAGGCCGGGCTGACGCCTCGAGAGGCCTCCGACCGGCTGATCCTGTTCCAGAACCGATTCGAGGGCATGTGGCGACGCCTGCAGACGTACCAGAGCGGCGAGGAACTCTTCGGTCTGCCCCAGACGGACTACCCAGAGCTCGGCCAGATCCGCAAGGAGCTAAACCTGCTGCAGAAGCTGTATAAGTTGTATAACGACGTGATCGATCGGGTGAGCAGCTACTACGACATACCCTGGAACGAGGTGGACATCGAGGAGATCAACAACGAGCTGATGGAGTTCCAGAACCGCTGCCGCAAGCTGCCCAAGGGCCTCAAGGAGTGGCCGGCCTTCCACGCTCTGAAGAAGACCATCGACGACTTCAACGACATGTGTCCGCTACTGGAGTTGATGGCGAATAAAGCCATGAAGCCACGCCACTGGCAACGGATCATGGACGTTACTCGCTACATCTTCGAGTTCGACTCGGAGGGTTTCTCGCTGAAGAACATATTGGAGGCGCCGCTGCTGAAGCACAAGGAGGACATCGAGGACATCTGCATCAGTGCAATGAAGGAGAAGGACATCGAGGCGAAGCTGAAGCAGGTGACCAACGAGTGGTCGGTGCACGAGCTGCAGTTCATGAGCTTCAACAATCGCGGCGAGCTGCTGCTGCGGGGCGACACCACGGCGGAGACGATTGGCCAGCTGGAGGATAGCTTGATGGTGCTGGGCTCCCTGCTCTCCAACCGCTACAATGCCCCCTTCCGCAAGCAGATCCAGCAGTGGGTCTACGACCTCTCCAACTCCAATGAGATCCTCGAGCGCTGGCTGCTCGTCCAGAACATGTGGGTCTACCTGGAGGCCGTGTTCGTGGGTGGCGACATCGCGAAGCAACTGCCCAAGGAGGCGAAGAGGTTTTCGAAGATCGACAAGTCCTGGCAGAAGATCATGCAGCGGGCCCACGAGACCCCCGGTGTCGTGGCCTGTTGCGTCGGGGACGATCTGCTCAAACAGCTGCTGCCTCATCTGCAGGAGCAGCTGGAGATTTGCCAGAAATCCTTGAGTGGGTACTTGGAGCGCAAGCGCATGATGTTCCCACGCTTCTTCTTTGTGTCAGATCCTGCCCTGCTAGAAATACTGGGGCAGGCTTCCGATTCGCATACCATACAGAACCACCTCCTCAACATATTCGACAACACCAAGTCGGTGAAGTTCCACGACGTGGAGTACAACAAGATGATGGCCATCATCAGCAGCGAGGGCGAGATGATCCAGCTGGACAGGGCCATCCGGGCGGAGGGCTCCGTGGAGACCTGGCTCACCCAGCTGCTGGTCACCGCCCAGGCCTCGCTGCACTCGATCATTCGCACCGCCTACGCCACCATCAACGATCCCAACTTCACCCTGCTCAGCTTCCTGGAGAAGGCGCCGGCCCAGATCGGCCTGCTCGGCATCCAGATGGTGTGGACCCGCGACGCCGAGATGGCCCTGATGCGGGGACGCGAGCGCAAGGTCATGATGGAGACCAACAACAAGTTCCTGGAGATCCTCAACACCCTCATCGACCAGACCACGCGCAATCTCACCAAACGGGAGCGCACGAACTTCGAGACCCTGATCACCATTCATGTGCATCAGCGCGATATCTTCGACATCCTGGTGGGTTTATCCATCTGGTTACCTTTTGCATTGATTTGCGATCAATCGTGGTTAACTCTAATTTTCCATCTTATCCTCCCATTCCCATCCCTCCATCTATCAAACAGTGCCGCATGAACATTAAGTCAGCCAACGACTTTGAGTGGCTCAAGCAATGCCGTTTCTACTTCAAAGAGGACCTGGACAAAACTTGGATATCGGTGACGGATGTGACCTTCACCTACCAAAACGAATACCTGGGCTGTACAGATCGCCTGGTTATTACTCCGCTAACTGATCGGTAACATAATATTATTTGCCTCAAGTATTTTAGATCTGAAATTGGAACTTAAACTTACAGCGAAGCTAGTGATGTTTTGGGTATCAAATTCAAAACTTATTAACAACTTAAGCTAACAATCAATATCTTCTAGAATTAATTTATTTATCTAAAATGATTTAAATTGGACTGACTTTTAAATTTGGCGAATGGGGTGAAAATTCTTTGATATCCAAAAATAATACGTATACGACTCATGGTCCAAGTGAATATTTCATTCTTACAAATATTTTCCATTCAAACGAACTCCTTGGGATTCGTATAGAAAAGTAATAATTATAACTGGACTTCAAATATATACGTAAACATTATCGAATAATGAAGTATACGCCAGGTGGTCCAGTCAAATAATTTCCCTCCAATTGCTAACTGTCTGCCCACTGAGGAACTCCGTAGGCTTCGCCATAATTCGCATTCAATAACTATAAGAGCTGCCGTTTAATTTGTATTCCCGGCATTTTTCTCGCATCGCTGTCCGCTCCTTCAATGATAAACTTTCGCATTCTTCAAATGCTTGAATAGAGACCGCCTGCACGTGCCCCGCACATTCCTTGTGGCAGTTCCACTGGCTGTTGCTGTGGCTGTGGCTGTTCTGCTGAAGGCGACGGTGGATGAGGTGCTTTCACCCACCTTGGAATGCCGCTCTGCAAACAGACGCGAGCAACAAGAGTTTGGCGGCACTTAAAGATGCTTTAAGTCAATGGCGGAGGCAGCTCAGCGAGGCAGCTCCCATGCTATTTTATCCTGTGGCAGCGGAAGACGAGCGAACAGTGGGTCCGGAATCCGGACGACGTTGACATGCCCGTGGAAAGATAAATTTCACTTAGCGGAGCATAAATAAAGTTTTGACAGCAGCCAGTTGGCCCAGACTGGGGGAATCTGCCGAGTGGCGCTATTTGGCTCCCGGCATCTCGGCCAGCTGCTTTGCATTCGTCTCTTGATCTCAACTCGTAGATTCACCATTCGTCTGACGTCAGGGAACATTAGGACTGCTTTTGATATCATAAAGAACGCTCTTCTCTGTCTGCGGTGACGTTTAATAGGCTGCGGCGTCCGCATCCGTCAAAGCTTACTTTCACTTTCACTTTCTCTGTGTTTCGAACTTTTCCGCACCCAGTTGTTACATAACCCTGGCCCAGGCACTCACCTTATCCATGGGCGGAGCACCATGCGGGCCAGCCGGCACGGGAAAAACGGAGACCGTCAAGGACATGGGCAAAACGCTGGCCAAGTATGTGGTCGTCTTCAATTGCTCCGATCAAATGGACTACAGGTGATAATAAAATTTAAGAAATATATAATTTATTAATTAAATCCCTAACAAATTCTGCGCTGTCTTCCCATTGGTTATAAGCGGATAACATCTCAGACTCATAAACTCATTAGAGATGATTAGCTTTACTCTGAACACTTAAATGCATTTATTCTTACAGAGGTCTGGGTCGCATCTACAAGGGATTAGCTCAGTCCGGCAGCTGGGGATGCTTCGATGAGTTCAACCGGATTGAACTCCCGGTCCTTTCGGTGGCCGCCCAACAAGTGGCTGTCGTCCTGACCGCCAAAAAGGAGAAGAGGAAAACATTCCTGTTCACCGATGGCGACACGATTGAAATGAATCCAGAGTTTGGAATATTTATAACTATGGTAATGTATATTTGTTATTGCTGGCAAGTCGAACTTTATTTTTGGTGCTACCCATCCACAGTAGCAATGTCATGCTTTTTAAATATCCGCATGGCTTTATGCTCACCCACACGTGAGTGCACAGACAATGTGTTTGTATTTTTTCTTAAATTCAATTTCCCGGAGCATAACGCGCAAATAACTTGCCGTTGAAGAAGAGATTCAAGCTCATGTGTTTATTACACAAATTGTATACCCTTTCAATTTGTTATTATACGCGAAGAAAGCTAACGAACAAGTTTCATCAAGAGGTCTGTAATTTTCTTGATTGCAAAGAAAATAGTTTTTTTTATAAAGGTTTAGATAATTTAATCTTTAGGTTACCAAAGAATTTGTAAGAAAAATGTATGGCCGAAAAGCTTCTGGAATCTGAATCAAAAGAATCGAGTGTAGAACCTTTTTGCTATTTTATCTTGTCTGCGAAATTTGAAAAATGTCATTACATCAATCGATAAGAGACCTTTTAAATTTTTTTTTCGGTAAATGGAAGTGACGGGCGCTTCACGCACATAATTCCACGTTATTAGTCATGTACAATTTTGCTCAACTGAAGCCGTAATAAAATTTACTGTAGCGCCTGTACACTGTACACACACGACATTTCGGTGGTGCGGCTAAAAGCAGCCCAAAACCAATAACCGAGCAGAGGGCAAAGGCAGTGGCAAAGGCAAATAAGGCCAAAAGAGTCTCGAGGCTGGTGTATTTACATTTTAGCGGTGGCATGACTCGATTAATGTGGCTGCCACATGGAACGCCGAATCCAACTTTGGTCCTCGGCTAAAGAGGAACTTTAAGTCGCCGTGGGGGAACTCAAAGTAGCTGCAGACTGAATTTTTGCGTAGTTTAATTACAAGTGACGGTAACTATGATCGGGTAATGCGATTAGCGTCACACGGCGACGCAACAACTTGCCACGCCTCGCTCATAATGGCCTATGTCAATCAACGCCCCTCATCCGCATCCGCACCATCAGCCTCATCCTCATCCTCGTCCAAGCCTCCAAATGCCGTTCTGGGTACGATCCTTTGAAGGCTTTGGCTCAATTTTAATTTGCACACTGAGTTATTATGCTCATTTATGTAACACTTTTAGCCAGAGCATTTTATTTTAATGAGCCATTATGTCACAGGACGAACTGGGTCGCACATGATTACGGACATAGACAAATGGACGCTTCCTGTCCCAGAACTCGGGCCAATTTGATGACGAAACCCTTTGTTGTGGCTCTCTGTTTCGCCGTTTTGCTGTTTTGTTGTTGCGCTTGGGACATGAGACAGGTCAATATTTGCAGTCGTGGCTTAAAATCAAATAAACCATGTTTGGAATAGAACTTATTTTTATGTCCTCAATTGTTGCGGACTGGCCAAATTGAACGAACTCCAACTTAGTTGAACTTCAGAACGATTAACTACTTTAAAGCCTATTTTGACATTTTCCCACTTTGGTCTTCTTGTAAATAGTACTATAATTGGATTTTCAACAAAGGCAAAGTAGGCTTTTCAAGAACGAGCGAAAGCCTTAAAAGAGGGCTTAAGTATGTATTTAAATACTGTGTGTGAATCTTGTGAAAAGCTGCCGACAATTTTAAAAAGCAATCTTTGTATTGTTAACATTTGAATTCATATATCTGACATATGCCTTGTGTTGTATAAGTACATGTGTACTATTTGTTGTCCTCTTTAAGCTTTAATGGTTTTTTTATACCCTTGCAGAGGGTATTATAATTTCAGTCAGAAGTTTGCAACGCAGTGAAGGAGACATCTCCGACCCTATAAAGTATATATATTCTTGATCAGCATCACTAGGCGAGTCGATCTAGCCATGTCCGTCTGTCCGTCCGTCTGTCCGTCTGTCCGTCTGTCCGTCTGTCCGTCCGTTTATATGCAAACTAGTCTCTCAGTTTTAAAGCTATCTGCATGAAACTTTCCCAAAAGTTGTCTTTCTATTGCAGGTAGTATATAAGTCGGAACGAGCCGGATCGGACGACTATAGCATATAGCTCCCATAGGAACAATCGGAAAAATAAATGAAAAAAAATTATAACTTTGCTGTTTTTTAATTTTTTGTTTAGTTCTTCGACATTTAGTAATGGTTAAATATTTCCGATTTACGGTTTAAATTTCATCAAAATCGGACGACTATAGCATATAGCTCCCATAGGAACAATCGGAAAAATAAATGAAAATAAATTATAACTTTGCTGTTTTTTAATTTTTTGTTTAGTTCTTCGACATTTAGTAATGGTTAAATATTTCAGAATTATGTTTTAAATTTCATCAAAATCGGACGACTATAGCATATAGCTCCCATAGGAACAATCGGAAAAATAAATGAAAAAAAATTATAACTTTTCTGTTTTTTAGTTTTTTGTTTAGTTCTTCGACATTTAGTAATAGTTAAATATTTTCGATTAACGGTTTAAATTTCATCAAAGTCGGACGACTATATCATATAGCTTCAATAGGAACAATCGGAGAAATAAATGAAAAAAAATTATAATTTTTCTGTTTTTTAATTTTTTGTTTAGTTCTTCGACATTTAGTAATGGTTAAATATTTCCAATTTACGGTTTAAGTTTCATCAAAGTCGGACGACTATATCATATAGCTCCCATAGGAACAATAAAAATATATAAAAGGCCTATCAAATAATTGAGATGCAAATCATCATAGCTTCAATGTTTTTAAACATATACGCAAGTAAATTATAATTTTAATGTTTTCAAAAATGTTTAATTCTTGCAATAGCTGCAAGGGTATATGAACTTCGGCTTGCCGAAGTTTGCTTTCTTTCTTGTTTTTTATTAATATCCATAAATTAAAACTTTGACCCATACAGATTATTTGTTGTCTTCTTTAAGCTTTATCAATATCCCTAAATTTAAACTTTACTCCACACAGAATCCAGGATATGCGGGTCGCAAGGAATTGCCGGAGAATTTGAAAATCCAGTTCCGCACGGTGGCCATGATGGTGCCGGATAGACAGATAATCATACGAGTTAAGCTGGCCAGTTGCGGCTTCCTGGAGAACATAACGTTGGCCAGAAAGTTCTATACCCTGTACAAGCTGTGTGAGGAGCAACTGACCAAACAGGTGCACTACGACTTCGGACTGAGGAACATACTCTCGGTGCTGCGAACTCTGGGAGCTGCCAAGCGGAGGAACTCCAAGGACACAGAGAGCACCATTGTGATGCGGGTGCTGCGTGACATGAATCTTTCCAAGCTGATCGACGATGATGAGCCGCTCTTTATGTCCCTGGTCTCCGATTTGTTTCCCAACCAGGTAAGCATTTAACGGATCTCCTTAGTCATCTTGTGTTAATCTCCCTTATATGTTAGACCCTCGAAAAGACCAATTACCCAGAGCTGGAGGCCGCCATTCTTCAGCAAACGGACGAGGCCAGCCTCATTTACCATCCTCCCTGGGTCCTGAAGCTCATTCAACTGTACGAGACCCAAAACGTTCGCCACGGCATCATGACTTTGGGGCCAAGTGGCGCCGGCAAGACGACCTGCATCCACACCCTGATGAAGGCCATGACCCAAATGGGCGACAACCACCGGGAGATGCGCATGAATCCCAAGGCCATCACGGCTGCCCAAATGTTTGGACGACTCGACGTGGCCACCAACGATTGGACGGATGGAATTTTCTCGGCCCTCTGGCGGAAGACCCTCAAGCTCAAGGCCGGCGAGCACGTCTGGTTGGTCCTCGACGGTCCGGTGGACAGTATTTGGATAGAGAACCTCAACTCGGTGCTGGACGACAACAAGACCCTGACCTTGGCCAATGGCGATCGTCTGACCATGGCGCCCTCCGTCAAAATCATATTCGAGCCGCACAATATTGACAACGCCTCGCCAGCCACCGTATCCCGCAATGGAATGGTCTACATGAGCTCTTCTGGTCTGGACTCTCGACCAAGTAAGTTTGGAAGTATTTTAATATCACATTAAACTTGAAAGAAATATTGGGTATTTGATAAGAATTTTAGGGGTGTGTAAAAGTATGGAACACTATATTTTCAATCTAGAAGAGTGTTAGAATTATTTGAGAGACAAAAATCTTTGTTTCACTGCATACTTTTGCACACATTTTTAATTGATATCAAAACCATAGTGTTTTTTTTTACTATCCCCAAATGTAATATTAATTCTTTAAACAAATTTACCTGCATTTCAACATTTCCCTCTTAGTTGTTCAGGCCTGGCTTAAAAACCGCGCTCCCGGCGAAAAGACGACCTTTTCGGATTTGTTCGATCAGACCTTCGTCGAGGTGTACAACTGGGGAGTGCAGATGGTGAAGTTGCAGATGCCCGTGTTGCAGTGCAACGTGGTCCAGCAGATGCTGTTTATACTGGAGGGCTTGATACCCGTCAAGAAGGAGGACGAACAGGCGGTGAGCCTGTCCAGCAAGGAGAGCCACGATGGTAAGTTCCGTCGACTAAATAACCCATTTTCCCCCCAAAGGCTAGCGGTTCGATGAATTGTGAAAGTGCAAGCGAACCCCGAACAAAACCCATCCCAAATGATTGCAATTTTTCAGCTAATAAACGTTCAGAGCACCAAAAAAAAGTCGAAGAGGCGCGACGGCAATCGATTGGCAGTCAGATTGTCGGTAAAGTATACCCGTAATTCGTTGCGCAACTAACAAAACCAAAACTAATCGTAGAGCTGACCGCCTAGCTAACACGCAACTTGCTTCTGAGTGTGTACTGACATCTATGACTTTCGGCTGGGAACTCGCTTCCCAACCGATTGGCCTTCTCTTCCTTCCTTAGTTGTGATTCTGTGCTCGTCCTCCTTTCTCTATGTATTAACCAAAATAGTTGTGTTTTGTGTCTCGTCCAAGCGTTTTGATTTCAATGTCGGCATTACTAATCCAGTAGAGGTGTCGGTGTCACAGGAGTCTCTTTGAGGCTACTTTTAATTGAATATTCCATACCGGTGTCTTAGAATAAATTAAATTAATTAAATATGAGATTTATCAAGTATTTCTATAAAAGGATATCGCAGTTCGAAAAAATAGGAACATTTAACTCATTATCTCACTAGACCATTTCAATAGGACAAACATAATTAAATAAAATGTCAGTCCATAGATTTGCATTTAATTGTTCATAAAATTTCTTAATTAAAAGTAAAGTTATGGGTGTTTTAATAGACACCTTATAATAATAACTCACCTTATAATTGGTTTAGAAATCTATAAAATTTATTTTATATAAATTACAAATCATGAACATTAAATGAACCTTTTGAAATGGTGTAAGAAATAAAGTTTCGAATATAAATGGTATATTTAACTTGAACTTTGAAACAGTTTAGTGAAGTTCCTTATATGCACAGACATGAATAGGGAGTTTAAAGCGAAATTCTGAGACCCCGGTAACCTTACCAAATTGTTTCCTGCCACCCCAAGAAAGAGACTCCTGTGGCACTCCTTAATGTCAAAGCAATGGCAATGGGCATGTAGTAACCGCAGTTCGTTTGGTTCCCACAGAGGACCTTCCTCCGGAGACATCGATCGAGGAGAAGGAGGACACCTGCACCCCGGAACACTTGCACCGCTTGTACATCTTCGCGCTCGCCTGGGGCCTGGGCGGTTACCTCTCCACTAGCGACCGCGTCCGGATGAACCATTTCGTGAAGGAATCCTTCCCGCAGCTGGACTACCCGAAGGGTAGTGCCCACGAGAACACCATCTTTGACTTCTTCGTTTCTCCAGCGGGCGTGTGGCAGTCGTGGAAGACGCTCGTCACCCCCTACATGTATCCGGAGCTTTCCACACCAGACTACCTGAGCATTCTGGTGCCCATCGTGGATAATGTGCGCATCGACTATCTGATCGGCACCATTGCCAATCAGGAGCGGGCCGTGATGGTGATTGGCGAACAGGGCACGGGCAAGACGGTGATCATGAAGAACTTCATGAGGAAGATGAACGTTGAGACGTACATGGGCCGTTCCTTCAACTTCTCGTCGGCCACCAGTCCGTATCAGTTCCAGCGCACAATCGAGAGCTATGTGGAGAAGCGCGTTGGGGTCACCTTCGGTCCGCCCGGTGGCCGCAAGCTGATCGTCTTCATCGACGACATCAATCTGCCCGAGATCAACGAGTGGGGCGACCAGATAACCAACGAGATTGTGCGCCAGTCCATGGACATGAAGGGCTTCTACAGCCTGGAGAAGCCCGGCGACTTCACCACAATCGTCGATGTGCAGTATGTGGCGGCCATGGGCCTGCCCGGCGGCGGACGCAACGATATACCGTCGCGGCTTAAGCGCCAGTTCTGCGTGTTCAACTGCAACATACCCGACAACGACTCCATCGACAAGATATTCCGCGTGATCGGTGAGGGCCATTACAATGCCAAGCGCGGCTTTGTGCCCGAGATCCGCAGCCTGGTCAAGAAGCTGATCATCGTCACCCGCCATCTGTGGCAGCGCACGCGCGAGAAGCTGCTGCCCACGCCGGCCAAGTTCCACTACGTGTTCAGTTTGCGCGATTTGTCGCGCATCTGGCAGGGCATGGTGGGCACCTTATCCACGGTGATCACCTCCGAGGGCGTCCTCATGGCACTGTGGAAGCACGAGTGCACGCGAGTGTTCGCCGATCGATTCACCACGTTCCAGGACAAGGAGTGGTTCGGCTCAGAGCTGGCATGTCTTGTGCGCGAGGAGCTGGGCGACGCCCACTCCCAAATGATCCTGCCCAATCCGGTGTTCGTTGACTTCATGCGCGACGCCCCCGAGCCGACCGGCGAGGAGGGCGAGGACACCGATATGGAGCTACCCAAGGTCTACGAGCCGGTCCACTCACACGAAGTGCTCCGCGAGCGTCTCGTCATGTTCCTCGCCCAGTTCAACGAAATGGTGCGAGGGTCGGGAATGGATTTGGTGTTCTTCCCGGATGCAATGCTGCATCTGGTGAAGATCTCCCGCATCATTCGGCATCCGAGGGGATCGGTCATGCTTGTCGGGGTCGGCGGTTCTGGAAAACAGTCGCTAACGAAATTGGCATCGTTCATAGCCGGCTACAAGACATTCCAAATTGCGTTGACGCGTTCGTACAACGTGGCCAATTTTCTGGAGGATCTAAAGCTGCTCTACCGCACCTGCGGCGTCCAGGGCAAGGGCACAACCTTTCTCTTCACCGACATGGATATCAAGGAGGAAGGTTTCCTCGAGTATCTCAACAACATACTCTCGAGCGGCGTCATATCGAATCTATTCTCGCGCGATGAGCAGGCCGAAATCGTGCAGGAGCTGACGCCGGTCATGAAACGCGAGAATCAACGCAAAACAGCGACCCCGGAAAGTGTGATGGACTTTTTTTTGGCGCGCACCTGCACCAATCTGCACGTGGCCTTCTGCTTCTCGCCCGTGGGCGAGACGTTCCGGTCGCGAGTGCAGCGCTTCCCCGCCTTGGTCTCCGGCTGCACCATTGACTGGCTGCATCCGTGGCCCAAGGACGCCTTGGTCTCGGTTGCCCGACACTTTCTGAGCCACTTCGAGATCGAGTGCACCCCGGCCGTCAAGGAGGAGCTGGTCAACGCCCTCGGCTCCATCCAGGACATTGTCGCGGAAACGTCGCAGGAGTACTTCCAGCGTTTCCGCCGCGCCACGCACGTGACACCCAAATCTTATCTGAACTTTATTGCCGGCTACAAGAACATCTACCAAATGAAGCAGCAAGAGCTGCGAGATGGTGTGGAGAAGATGGATACGGGCTTGGAGAAACTGAAAGAGGCCTCCGCCTCGGTTGAGATCCTCAAGAAGGATTTGGTGGTCATGGAGGAGGAGCTGGTCGAAGCCTCCAAGAACGCCGAGTCAGTGCTAGTGGAGGTGACGGAGCGCGCGATGCAAGCGGAGATCGTCAAGAATCAGGTGCTCATCGTCAAGGACAAGGCCGAGGCCCTGGTGGCCTGCATTGCCCACGAAAAAGCCCTGGCCGAGGAGAAACTGGAGGCGGCCAAGCCGGCGCTGGAGGAGGCCGAGAACGCCCTCAACACGATCAAGCCGGCCCACATCGCCACCGTGCGCAAGCTGGGCCGTCCGCCGCACCTGATCATGCGGATCATGGACTGTGTGCTGATCCTCTTCAAGCGCAAGCTGCATCCCTGCATCGCGGACGCGGGCACGCCGTGTCCGAAGCCCTCCTGGCAGGAATCCTTGAAGGTGGGTCTCTTTTTTGGTACAGCTATCCGGAATAAGCAAAGCGGAAGGTATAATGTGTTCCATAAAGGTGCTTCTCATTGCCTATTTTTATTTATTACTTACTTTTGTGTATATTTTTTAAACTTCGCTTGTTTTTATTTTCATTCAAATCAATAATAATAAAGCTTTTAATCTGCGCAGCTTTGGTCAGCTTTCTTGTTTTGATTCTGCCCTTATAGGTATGCTACGAATTTGTTATTTTCTTATAGTGGTACCGAAACACACCAATGCCAATCATCGCAAGTAAACAGCTGAATCGTAATACGATAACTGGTCTTCTTATTGAATTTATTCTCTCTATAATTATTTATGATTGTAGTATAATAAATTAGTAATTCTGCAAAGATTTTGTTAGCTTTGCTAAACATTCTTGGTATTTAATTTAATTGCCACATTAATGCATCAATGCCAATCATCGCAAGTATGCAACTGAAGTGTAATGTTTACTCCACTCTGTTTAGTGCTAAATCATAGTCGGCTAACTCGACTATAGCGGACTTACTTGATTTCCTCTCACTCCGCTCCCAGATGATGGCCAGTGCCACCTTCCTGCTGCAACTGCAAAACTATCCCAAGGACACCATCAACGACGAGATGATCGATCTGCTGCAGCCGTACTTCCGCATGGAGGACTACAACATGGACATGGCCCGTCGTGTGTGCGGAGACGTGGCTGGCCTGCTGTCCTGGACCAAGGCCATGTCCTTCTTCCACAGTGTTAACAAGGAGGTGCTGCCCTTGAAGGCAAATCTAACCATGCAAGAGGCGCGACTTAAGGTAAGTACTTGCAAAACTAAATGATGTCACAATATTTTTAATCCTTTAAAGTATAAATATTTGCAGTAGTAAAAAGTATATTTATTTTCATTTAAAAAAAATTGTTTTGCTATTTAACATTATATGAAAGAATTAGATAGATAGATATTATCTTGCTTTTGTTAAGGGTATACAAACTTCGCCTTGGCCAAAGCCATTTCACTTTATCTTTTGTGTCTTGTGCTGAATACTTTGGGCTGCTTTGAATATTACCAGCTCGTCAATCATATTTTTTTAACTCCGCCATATTTTAAAGTTCAATGTGTTATATTCAGCAGCAAATTAGCTAAAAGGGAACGACGCCACTAAATATTTAAAGCAAGGAAGTGTTTGTTCGAGCTCTTTAAGCTGCTTTTATTATTATTATTGGTCGTTATACGAAATTTGCAAACGAGTAAAAAAGTGCCAGTCTATACTAAATAATTTAAAAAATTGTAAAATTAAAAATTAAAATTAAATCTAATATGTGAACTTAACGTTTGTTTTTGCCTTATTTTTTTTTAACTAACTGTTGAATTAATAATATAAATTTATGTATATAAAAGGATAATGTAAATAGCAAGCTTAAACTAATAAACATCTACCCTTCCCGTTTAAATGCGATACGTTTTAGCTGGCCATGGACGACTTGGCAGGTGCCGAGGAGCAACTAAGGGAGCGCGAGGAGGCCCTCCAGGCTGTGAAGGATCAGTACGACAAGGCGGTGGGCGAGAAGCAGAGGTTGACGGATGCGGCCAATGTCTGTCTGCGAAAGATGACGGCGGCCACGGCTCTGATCAATGGGCTTTCGGATGAGAAGCACCGGTGGACCAACCAGAGCAAGGAGTTCAAGATCCAGTTGGGCAAGCTGGTGGGCGATGTGCTGCTGGCCACCGGATTTCTGTCCTATTGCGGGCCCTACAACCAGGAGTTCCGCGCCAATCTCATCAAGACCTGGATGGGCATACTGAAGCAGAAGAGCATACCCTTCACCACTGGACTGAACATCATCAACATGCTGGTGGACTCCTCGACGGTGTCGGAGTGGACGCTCCAGGGATTACCGAACGATGAGCTGTCGGTGCAGAATGCCCTGATAGCCACCAAGTCCAGTAGCTATCCACTGTTGGTGGATCCGCAGACGCAGGGCAAGATCTGGATCAAGTGCAAGGAGGACAAGAACGAGCTGCAGATTACCTCGCTGAACCACAAGTACTTCCGCACCCATCTCGAGGACTCGCTGTCCCTGGGCAGGCCACTGCTGATCGAGGATGTGGGCATTGACCTCGATCCGGTCATCGACAACGTGCTGGAGAAGAACTTCATCAAGTCGGGCAGCATAGAGAAGGTGCTGGTGGGCGATAAGGAGTGCGATGTGATGCCGGGCTTCATGCTCTACATCACCACGAAGCTGCCCAATCCGGCCTTCAGTCCGGAGGTCAGTGCCAAGACCTCCATCATTGATTTCACGGTCACCATGCGGGGACTGGAAGATCAGCTCCTGGGCCGAGTGATCCTCATGGAGAAGTCCGATCTGGAGGCCGAGCGGGTGGCACTCTTCGAAACGGTCATGCAGAACCAGAGGAACATGAAGGAATTGGAGGCGAATCTCCTGCTGCGCCTGAGCTCATCCCAGGGATCCCTGGTGGACGACGAGGCCTTGATTGAAGTGCTGCGGGTCACGAAAACCACAGCGGAGGAGGTCAACCAAAAACTGAAGATCTCCGAGGTCACGGAGCGTAAGATTATGAAGGCGCGGGAGGAGTTCCGGGCGGTGGCCAAGCGCGGATCCATTCTCTACTTCCTTATTGTGGAGATGAGCAACGTGAATGCCATGTACCAGAACTCCCTGAAACAATTTCTGGTCATCTTCAACTGTTCCATCACCAAGTCGACCAAGTCCAGTGTCACCGAAGAGCGAATAAACATTATCCTGCGCTATCTCACCTACGAGGTGTACAAGTTTACCAATCGCAGTCTCTACGAGCGGCACAAGCAGCTGTTCACCTTGATGCTGGCCATCAAGATCGACTACCACAATGGAAACATCAGCCACGAGGAGTTCCTCACCTTCATCAAGGGCGGCGCCTCGTTGGACTTGAATGCCGTCACCCCGAAACCCTTCCGCTGGATCCTGGACATCACCTGGCTAAATCTGGTGGAGATCAGCAAGCTGGAAACCTTCTCCACGGTCCTTCAGGTGATCGAGCTAAACGAACGCGACTGGCGCTGCTGGTACGAGTGCGAGAAGCCGGAGAATGAGGAGATCCCCTGCGGCTACAATGCCCTCCTCGATGGTTTCCGGAAGCTGCTGCTCATCCGCTCGTGGTGCCCCGATCGCACCATTTCTCAGGCGAAGAAATACATAGAAGGTGAGATCTGCTGTTGAATTATCAATATGAATTTTAATTTAATTTAATTTTATTATAATTTTATTTTTCTAGAATCTCTTGGAAGCGAGTATAGCGAAATGCAAATTCTTGATCTGGAGGAGATGTGGTAAGATTTTAAAAATATAAATAGATTCCCATTTAGCAGCACAGTTTAGCTGTGAGACCCCGGAAGAAACATAATGAAATTCATGGTTTTGGCAAAAATTCCAAATAAGTAAAAAAATAAGTAAAAACTGGCAAACAAAATGTTTTTTTTTTCAATTAGCCGAAAAGTAATGGAGAGGGTATCTCTGCCATATTTTAAATTTATCCATAAGGTATATAAGGTATAGTACCTTAAAGTCTGTATATAAACAAAAGTACATTTCTTATTTCACTATAGAAGAGCAGTTATTTATAAAGTCATTAAAACAGTGGACAGTTTCGTAAGTTCATTAAGCACAGTACTATATACATTTATTATTATCAACAAGAGAATTACTTTACTGCTTCAAAAGACCCCAACTTGTGAATCGACTGCAAAATAAGGTCAATAAAGCAGACCCTAATCCCGTGAATTTTCTTCTGTAGGCTTGAGTCGGAACCGCGCACTCCATTTGTGTGCCTGCTGTCCATAGGATCGGATCCAACCACCCAGATCGGCGCTCTGGCCAAGCAGAAGAGCATTGGTAAGTGCTGTGAATATGCCACACTGATTAAATCAATGACCACCCACCCATCCACGAACAGTTTTGAAATGTGTGTCGATGGGCCAGGGGCAGGAGTACCATGCGCGGAAGATGATAATCGAGTCGATGGCCATCGGGGGATGGGTGCTGCTCCAGAACGTGCACCTGTCGCTGCCCTTCTGCAGCGAGATCATCGACATGCTGGTGGAGAGCGAGCACATAGACGACTCCTTCCGCATGTGGGTGACGACGGAGCCGCACAACGAGTTCCCCATCGGACTGCTGCAGATGGCCCTCAAGTTCACAAATGAACCACCGCAGGGAATACGTGCCAGTCTGAAGCGCAGCTACCAGGTGGGAAGGCCATTCAGTTTGTGGCCTGCTTAATATTTAATTTTCAATCTTTTTCCGGCCGCCAGTCGTTCACCCAGGACTTCCTCGACTACACATCGGCCTCGCAGTGGCCCCCGCTCCTCTACACGGTGGCTTTCCTGCACACCATCGTCCAGGAGCGGCGTAAGTTCGGTCCGCTGGGCTGGAACATACCCTACGAGTTCAACCAGGCGGACTTCGCCGCCAGCGTGCAGTTCATCCAGAATCACCTGGACGAGATGGACCCCAAGAAGGGCGTCTCCTGGCAGACGCTGGTCTACATGATTGGCGAGGTGCAGTACGGCGGTCGGGTGACCGACGACTTCGACAAGCGGCTGCTCACCACCTTCACCGCGGTGTGGTTCTGCGAGCCGCTGCTCTCCAGCTCCTTCGAGTTCTACAAGGGCTACAAGGTGCCGGGCACGAAGAGCCTGCAGGGTTTCATCGATTATATCAACAGTTTGCCGGCCTACGACACCCCCGAGGTATTTGGCCTGCATTCGAATGCCGACATCACGTACCAAATAAATTCGGCCAAAGGTGAGTGTTGTCGTTGTCCGTGATTTCCGATGCGAATGTAATTCGACCACCGGAAAGCAATCGCACCACCAGAATCACTTACTTTTAGTTTAATGCGGTGGCTGTTGATGTTGAGGCTGATGTTGATGGACAGTTCATAAATTATCAATGCCTTTAATTAAATGTAAAGCCCTGTTGCATAATCAATTTGGGGCATGCCGACCCGAATGTGTGAAATCAGTAAACCGAATATTTGTGCTCCATTTAGGAGGAGCAACCCACTCGGGCATTAGCGCATTAGCGCATTAGCATATTCGATGGCCCCAAAGCCTTGACTGTTTACCTCTGATTCAGGCATCCTCGACACCATCCTGAGTGTGCAGCCCAAGGAGGGCGGCGGCGGGGGCGGCGAGACGCGGGAGAGCATCGTCTACCAACTGGCGGAGGACATGCTGCGCAAGCTGCCCGCCCAGTACAACGCCTACGAGGTGCGGGAGAACCTCAACCGGATGGGCATCCTCCTGCCCATGAACATATTCCTCAGGCGAGTAGCCGTAGCCCCTCTCGATGGCCAGTTACCCATAATCAGGGGTGTTGGTGTTCAATTGCAGGCAGGAAATCGATCGCATGCAACGGGTCATTAAGCGCGTACACACCTGCCTCTGCGACCTCAAGCTGGCGATTGATGGCACCATTGTGATGAGCCCGGCGCTGAAAGAGTCACTCGACGCCATGTACGATGCCCGCATTCCCGAGACCTGGATGAAGGTATGTTCCCTAAAAAAGCTCACAGTTGCGGTCAAAATAGTTGTAGCTTTTCAGTTTTCTTCCGTTGGGGAGCAACTTTTAAAATTGAAGATTAATATAAATATAATATAAAATTGGTTTTTAAATTTTGAATTTAAAAAATATATTCATTTTAAAAAACATATCAATATAAAGTGCAGATGAAAAAGGATTCATGGCTATTTTCCTAAAATATTATCAAATCAATTACTGCAGGACGTTGAGAAGTGAATTTTAGGGATTTATAATCAGTTTTCATTTTCCTTGAAAAGCCATATCAATATCAAAACTTTTTTTAAACCTTAATAAATTTAAGTAAAATTAAACCTTTAAGGTGTGTTTTGAGCATTTTACATTTTGCCACTACTATTATTTTGGCCGCAGCTGTATCTATAAGTGTTTACTGGAAAGTAAAATGGTGGTTAGTTTAGTTAAAGCGGTGCCGGCATTCACTTTAACACCCTCTTCAAACACTGAAGTTTGTGTCAAACACACAATGTCGCTTTTTTTTGGGGAAATATATTTTTTTTACTGGCCTTTCATGTTTGGGTACTCGTAAATTATGCGCGAAAACGTTTGACGCCTCAATGCCTGCAAATAATATTCAATACCTGTAGAAAATAATGGAAAATAAATTGAATGTTTATATTTGTGAAAAGGTAAAAAGGGTATTGCAGATAAAATTCAAGGTCTATGCTTCTATATTTAAATGGTAACCAACTAAAAATAGCTTCAATACAAACATTATTTTCATGTACATTCATGTATTTGAGTTATCCCAGAGATAACCTTCAGTACTACAAAACACTTGTGTCAGAAATATACATAGTAAACAAATAAAGAGTCCAAGCAAGTAAGATGTCAGAAAAAAAGAGTTTGCATAAGAAAGATGCCAGTTTCAAATTGGACGACGACTCGCGTGAAGACCTCACGACTCGCTCCTATGGCTTCTTGAAGGCAACCCGGACGGACACACCAATCCCTAGGTCCGAAGATCCCATAGTGGCCAGCACCCTGGAGGAAAGGTTGCACACAATCCACAAGCACATTGATTATCAAGAGGACTCCGACATGGAGGATACATCTGGCCCAGGTTCGTCGGATGAGCAACCAGGGCGCATGGGAAAGACGGCCTTTGAGCTGAAACGCAAGCGGTTCGATGAGGCCGAATACACCATAGCTCGGGGCATCAAGCTAAGCGACTGCTTTTGTCCCGTCAACTCTGGCCTGCAGCTGCCCATTATTCCCAAGGATGGCACGCCGATTGCTTTATTTGAGGAAATGGAGCTGTTTTGCCGCAACATGAACATCAAACTGGACAAATGAGTTGTTGCAGAGACTGGCCAAGTTTAATATACCCTGTTTGATTGCAAATAAAAACTTTCATACTCTTCTTGCTTGCGTTTGAATCTCGAAAAAGCGATAATTTCATGTCCACGTCACTTGCAGATTTCCTGGGAGTCCACTACTCTGGGCTTTTGGTACACCGAGCTGCTGGAACGCAACGGGCAATTTCGAACCTGGATATCAACGGATCGGCCCAAGGTGAGTTGGACGGCTGGACAATGCACCACCATCCAGGGCCAACCCATCTCTCTTTACTTCTTTTTCCCCCCCTCCCAAAACTAGGTTTTCTGGATGACCGGCTTCTTTAATCCCCAAGGCTTTCTAACAGCCATGCGACAGGTGAGTATTAATGGGGGGCTGAGTGCGCAGAATTAATTTATTATGGCATAGTTGCTTAATAAGCGAACGGGATATGAATACGAAAAGAGTCCTTTGTCATACACATTTCCTTTATGCCCAGGCGATTGCCATTAAAACGTACTTCCTTGCTGATTGTGCCGATTGACACATTTGATACCACACCTTAAGGGTTATTCACACGAAGTCTCCTTTTTCTTTGCATATCCTGCGGCAAACACTTGAAAATCCCAATCGATGTCAGGAGGTGACGCGAGCCCACAAAGGCTGGGCTTTGGACTCGGTGGTGCTGCAGAATCAAATAACGCGCTACAACAGGGAGGACATCACCGAGTATCCCACGGAGGGGGTCTATGTGCACGGATTGTTCCTGGAGGGTGAGTGTAACTTATACATACATATATCTGGGACTCCACTCCAACGTGCTGTTCTGCAGGCGCTTCGCTGGATCGCCGCAGTGGCAAGCTGATTGAGTCCAAGATGAAGGTGCTCTACGAGCAGATGCCCGTCATCTATATATACGCGATAAACACGACGGCCGGCAAGGATCCCAAGCTGTACGAGTGCCCCATCTATCGCAAGCCACAGCGCACCGACTTAAAGTACGTGGGCTCGATTGATTTCGAGACCGAATTCAATCCCAAGCACTGGACCCTGCGCGGCGTGGCCCTGCTCTGTGACATCAAGTGAACCCCAACCGCAACCTCAATCTCAATGCCTCAACCTCAATACCCCCCTTCAAATACCGATTGCCATTGTTTGCCATCATGTCAACGGCTGTACGTGAGTGGGGCTCCTAATGGCCCTGTGATAATTATCTTTTTTCGTTGGGTGGACGTTAAAGTTTCGTGTAATCCGGCGCAAATACAACGTTATTAATTAAGCCCTCGGGTGAGGCAGGGCAAATTGTTTGCACTCGGGACCAACCAGCACAATGATTAGCTGTTATCCATTTTGGTCAATCCCCGCCAGGCGGGCTTTCCAAAAAAGCGCACCAAACCCTTAGAGAGTTTAAGCATGTGAGTAGCGAAATCGCAGTGTTTAATAAAGGCACACAAAAAAAAAAAAGAACATTTTCTTTGGCCTTAAGGATGTGGCCAATTAAATGGCCAGCCTATACATCAATTGGTACCCTGTTTCCTGTAAGGGAAACGGAACGTGTCACTTTGCCTGTTGCAGACTTCTGCAGGAAAAAACCCAATGTAAACACAATTGCCGTAAGTATTGATTAAAGGTGAGTTCAAAAACCTTTGTTCTATCTCCCATCCCTTTGTCCTTCAAATACAATAGAATTAAACATGCTTATCCTTAGGAAGTTAATTAAACGGAATGCTTTGTAATTGAATGTCATGTCAATGCCTCATGATTTTATTTTTTAATAAGTATATCCGTACATACATATAATTTTGTATAATATATAATTTCGTTTGATTTCTTTTTTTTTTTGGAATTTCATCAGTTTAGCTTTTTTGAAAAAGGTCTTTTATTTACATACACATATAGTAGAAATTAATTTGTATTTAATTTATTAATGTACAGAACGTAACTATTAAATGGTTAATTTGCTCGGTAAATTCCTTGTTAATTTACACAACACGTGGCGTATTCATGTATCGAAGTACTTGCTTTTGGGTAATAGGTCTGACTTTGATCTACGTTAAAATCGTTATTCGTATGATTTGGAACCATTTTTCGCTTAATATCTTAGAAATTGAACCCTTTAACAACGCAAATTTAATAGTGACCAAATGTAAGCTTTGACGAAAGGAACATGTAAATAGTGTCTGCATTATGTTAATTCTATTTGAGCATTTTTTACACAAGTTTAAGCACAACAGAGCAAACACAAAAACCAATTTCCGCCCGCGGAGAATGTAAACCACAAATATTTTGTTTGTTTCATAAATAAGCTTGCACAGTTTTTCCTCACATGAGGAAAAACATGAAAATCTCATTAGACAGGTCAATATTGCATGCGACTGATTAACGTTAATCGTTAAAATAATTATTAAAATTACACATAGATCACTATCAATTACGCATGCATTTACATTTATAAATCTTGGAGTTTCGTTCGCTATATCTTGGGTGTGTTCGATCTAGTAAAAGTATGTTTGACATTAATCGTGGGGGATTGGAGATTGGAGATCGGAGGAGACTTTATATTCAACAGTATCTGTGAGAGGTAGCATAAATCGTAACATACACCGTTGGTTATTTTCGATAAAATAGAGTTCAAATGCGAATACATCTAGCAACGTGGGAGTAAGTTTGTCATCAAGGGAGTATGTGCACACACAACATGCCTGCCTTGTAGCCAGCCATTAGGAACCGTCGATTTGCATTAATAACCGCCTAGCACCACCAAGCTGTCGGGTGCCCCTATCCGAAGAATCCGTATCCGTATCGGTATCGGTATCGGTATCTTTAACTTTGTCTGTATCTGTATCTGTATCTATGTCTTTTGTTGTATCAGTATCAGTATCAGTATCATTATCCGTATCTGTAGCTGCAACTCAATCCTCACTTACTTAATTAACATTATGCTGGCTTTTGTGAAAGCGGTAGGGAAAGGGCCAGGGCAGGCGGTCATTTGCATTGGCCGCACCCCGAACCACCTCGTTCGGCTCCTCGTTGGCCCAGTTGGGCTTGTCCTCGAACACATCGAACCTCTCCAGGCCCAGGCCCAGACCCAGACCCAGACCCAGCCCCTGTCCCAATCCCAGTCCCACACCCATTCCCTCCGGGCCCACGTCATTATCGTTCTCATCGTCGTCATCCACATATCTCGCCGGGTTTTTACTGCCGTCGTCATTTTCATTCTCATTCCCGTTCCCATTCCCATTCCCGTTCTCATGTTCATGATTTGTTTCGTTGGCTTCATTTCCGTTGACCCGATGCCTGGCCAGACCCATTCCGGCCACGTCCAGAGAGTTCTTCGCATAGCTGAGCAACTTCTGACCTGGTAGTGCCTGGGATTGTGGTCGAGTGGATGTTGATTGCAGGGAATCCGCAAACTGTGACGAGGGGGACTGCGACTGAGACCATCCGTAGCTCCACAGTTGGCTGGGGAAATGCTTCCAGGGCAGCAGCTGTTGCCGGCCCAGCTGCTCCTCCGGCTCCTCATCCCGCTCCCGCTCCCGCTCCAGTTGCAGCTGCAGTTCCCGCTCGACTGGCCACTGCTGGCGGTACCGCCTGCTCCCCTTGGATGCTCCTGCTCCTGCGCCTCGCAACAGGAATCGTTTGCCCACGTTCTTCAGGATGGCGCGGTTGAGCTCGACCTGGGCAAGCACAAGAAAGGTAACTCGGTTCACATAAAATGCTGTTAAATACTGTAAAATGGGTGAAAAAGTGCATGGGTAGTCAAACAATTCCCACTCCCTCAAGGGCTTCTGGTTACCTCCTTTTTAACGGGGGGCAAAGCTAAACTAGATGGACATGCATGATTGATGACTGGCAATGTTGTTAACGCTTTCGATTTGGCTTACAAATCAAGAGTCATTTATTGAGAGTTTACATCGTAAATAAACGAAACTTATAGTCATTATTTAAAGACACAAATATTCATCTTCATTTTGCTATATTTTTTAACCACTTTGCAGGATATTTATTTGCTTTGAAATCAGTTTGATGACAAAGATGTGTTATTGTTTGTTCACTGATATTTTTCCTACTCCTTAACTAACTCAACAACTATTAAAGTATGAATTATACTACATTTTAATTCTTTTTATTTCCTCTCCACTTTGTAGAATTTTTTAAAGAGTCTATTATTATATTTATTTATACCTTTGAAGTTAATTCCATTTATATTGAGTCAAATTATAATAGAAGGCTAGCTCCTGAAGATATTTGTTTACCTTTTACCTCTATAATTAAGTATTATTTTAGGTGATAATGACCAACTGTCTCATGAAACCCACATTTATTCGTTTCACACTGGAAATCTTTGCATATATTTTATATTCCTGAAAGAGACTTAAAGTCCCAGGTGTTTGAATAGAATATAATGGCTGTTCAGCTCATCTTTCACCAATACAAATTGCTTTTGGGATGCATGGATTAATTTTTAAAACCCCTTTGACAAATCAATACGGTTATCTGGCGTGTGTGTAAATGGGTGGATAGGCATATAGGCACATAGGCACAACCGTGTTCATCCGTGACCCTCTTTAACAGAAATTCGTGGGCCGAAAGGTGAAGCTATCAAGGCAAATCGTTTGAATTCCACGCATTAAAACGTTTGATTTTTTTTGGCCTTTTTGTCTTTTGTGTTGTGCCTTGGGGCTTGGGAACGTTTGGTAACCAAATAAACTCGCTTTGTTACCGAGCGAAAATATTTGTGTTACACATACGCCACGTTGGCTTTGTTTTGGCGCCGAGCCCCATGCATGTATATTTTGGGTGTCAGGGCCAGTCGAAGTGCTTAAGCCCTGTTTTGGGGTCTGCCAGGATGTTGTTTACACTCCCAGAGCCAGTTTAGTATGTGGGCTGGCGTAGTCTTCTAGGACCCGGGATATTTATTGGACTCGCTGCTGCCGCCGGGAGAGGAATTAAAAAACTTTCCGCAGCTGCGCCATTCTTTATGGGTTTGGAAAGTATTTCTCATCAGGCATTCTAGTTTTGATTAGCCGCTACACATTCATTTATGCATTGCACCGAATTACTCTGTCCAGCTAAGGCTGCCTTTTAGCGCGAATTGTTTTCCGTTTGTCTGGGGTGCCGTAGTCAAAAGTTTCTTTCTTATTTTTCGCTTATTAAAATACCTTGCAAAGTGGTTCGTTTATTGCAGCAATCCCCAGACTCCACGCCACCCCAAATGCGAACACAAAAACTCACCTGGCGGGAATTCTCCTTCATTTGCCTGCGTGCGATTTCCAGGAGCAGCCGCTGACGCAGCACATCCAGGGGATTGACAATGGACAGCGACGGTTTGTTCCGCTTGGCCAGGAGAAAGTCATCCTGGAGGGGGAGAAATACATACATATATAGTAGGTACGGACATTTACATTTACTGGAAACTTCTTGGCGCTTGGCATAATAAAATCGTGGCAAGGTAATGCAAAAAGTTTTAAGTCCCTGTCCTAATATTCTGTTCTTCAGCTCTGCGTGCAAAGTTTATATTTTTGTTGTCAAGAAAATTAAAATTGGCATCGATTTAGGGTAATCGAAAGGGCTTGGGCTATCAAAAGCATTATATCAACTTCTGTTTTTCCCACATTTGAAAATTATCGTTTAAATTCAATCCAAGAATCTTATCGTTGCTGCCCTATGTTTTTTCCATGATGATCAATCGGGAATTTCGCGATAGGAGCTCTTTACTGATAAGAGAGAATTTTCAAGCAAACTCGTGAGTCACAGCTAAAAAATAATTAGAAAAACACTTGACACTTTACTTTTATAATTACCGCATGATAACGCCTAAAAACCTTCCTTTTTCTGACTCTTAGACATACAATAGTAAAACGCTTTAACTCATTCTCTTGCTTTATCACAAAGATATTATCCGAAATTCATACTTAACCTAGAACAAAGTTTATTACTGTTTCTTGGGAAGAACTAAACTAATTCTGTTTTAATTCCAAGAAGATCTTACATGTCTAAGTTCAAGGCAAACGGTAAGCAACCATTCCCAATTCATGTTTAAAAAAATATGATAATTATGATTATTGTGTGTCTGACTATCAGACATGCCAGCGATTAGATAAGAATTTGCCACAGTATGTGGTCGCAATGTCTGGCAGTGAATGGACATGGCTATCAGGTTACTATAAAAGCTATAGCCACCAGTGGACCCAAGTAGTACATTCGAAACAATTGCGAAATGAAGGTTCTGACGCTCTTCTTGTTGGCGGCCCTCGTGGCAGTGGCTGTGGGCCGGCCAAACGGCGGCTGGCTGGGAAACTTTAACAACAACTGGATGAGGAAGTTCGGCTGGGGTTCCGATGACAGCCAAAACGTGCAGGAGAAGAAGTGGAATAACCAGAATCATTGGAATGGCCAGAATCAGTGGAATGGCCAGAACCAGTGGAACGTAAATAGTCATGGCCAGGGTCAGGGTCACAATCAGGGTCAGTGGAATGGTAATCATGGCCAAGGCGGAAATGTTCACGGAAACAACCATGGTCATGGTAACGGACATGGTCATGGAGGTCACCGGCCGTCACCACCCCCACCAACAGCGGATCTGCCCGAGGTGTCCACCGAAGACGATATTGCTTCCACCACCGATGTGACCAGCCCCGTTGAGGAAAGCACTCTGGCCCCTGAAGTTCCAGAGGATTCCACCACCCAGGAACCGGAGGACAACACGACTGACTCCGAAAATGGTAGCGGTTCTACTGAAGACACCACTGTGGCTCCTGAAGACCCAGAGGATTCCACCACCCAGGAACCGGAGGACAACACGACTGACTCCGAAAATGGTAGCGGTTCTTCTGAAGACACCACTGTGGCTCCCGAAGACCCAGAGGATTCCACCACCCAGGAACCCGAGGACAACACCACTGACTCCGAAAATGGTAGCGGTTCTACTGAAGACACCACTGTGACTCCTGAAGACCCAGAGGATTCCACCACCCAGGAACCGGAGGACAACACGACTGACTCCGAAAATGGTAGCGGTTCTACTGAAGACACCACTGTGGCCCCTGAAGACCCAGAGGATTCCACCACCCAGGAACCCGAGGACAACACCACTGACTCCGAAAATGGTAGCGGTTCTACTGAAGACACCACTGTGACTCCTGAAGACCCAGAGGATTCCACAACCCAGGAACCGGAGGACAACACGACTGACTCCGAAAATGGTAGCGGTTCTTCTGAAGACACCACTGTGGCTCCCGAAGACCCAGAGGATTCCACCACCCAGGAACCCGAGAACAACACCACTGACTCCGAAAATGGTAGCGGTTCTACTGAAGACACCACTGTGGCTCCTGAAGACCCAGAGGATTCCACCACCCAGGAACCGGAGGACAACACGACTGACTCCGAAAATGGTAGCGGTTCTACTGAAGACACCACTGTGGCCCCTGAAGACCCAGAGGATTCCTCCACACAGGAACCCGAGGAAGTAACCACGGACTCTGAGGACGGAAGCGGTTCTTCGACTCTTGAGCCCGAGGACTCCACAACCCAGGCACCCGAAGAACCAGAGGATTCCACCACTCAGACTCCCGAAGACTCCACCACCCAAGCCTGATTCTTCCGCGATCTAGGAAGATACTTGGGTTGCTCCAAAGGTTTCTAAAAAGTCTGCACTTTCTCCGCAATCGCTAAAGAATTCAGCGTCTCATTAAAAGGTTATTACAAAGAATTTTAAGGCGAAATGTGGTGGAAATATTAAACTGTTACAACTAATTTATTAACCGTGTTTTTACAAAACAACGTGAAAACAATTTTAGGCTTAAGATAAAAACCCATGAAGTAACATCGTGTTATGTAGTCACGCACTCCTCATATAGCTTTATAGTTCCCACAATCTGAACAATTAAAACTACCAAAAAACACCTTAATGCCATGGAAACAATTATTTTACGGTGGTACTCAAAACTGTAAGCTTGTACACGCATTAAAACGCTTATCACATAATTGAACTTTCGCTTTTCGGACCAAGACAATATTGTTGTTGTTTGTCTGGTTGTTTAGCCATTGTATGCCGTTGATAAACTGCTTGATTGACATACGGACATCAATCAATGAATCGCTACTTCAATGATTAGTTGCTAATCGACCCTTATCAGAACATATTTACCGTTGTATACGCCTATGGTTAATGACGTGTCATATTTGCCGGTACAAATGGAAAATTTCGTAATTGGCTTTTAACTTTGCCCCGGGGCTTATTTTCAAAGGCCACCTCATGATAAATTATCATTTCTTTCAGCAAATAAAATAAAATTGTTTACGTGTTCCGCATTAACGAGTTTAAATCTCCAATTTCACAAACGAACTAGCTTTGCCAGCCATTTAAAATGCGCAGAATAAAGAATCGAATTGACGAAACTTGAACTTCTTAAAAAGCAGAGGTGAAACTTTTGATTGTGGACAACAGGAGTTTTTCAAGACAAACAAAATGCTTTTTGTTTTCCTCTAATGACGCCTGGACAAAACCTTGACGAAAATTTCCATTTGTTTTGAAAGCCATAAACGCAAATAAATTCCGTTGCCAACTTCGTGTGTGTGAAAGAACATATACGACTTTCTGTTCACTCCGAACCAGTTTCACATTGAGGTATGTATTTCCTACCGATCAAGTGCCTAGATTAGATTGTACCATAACCCCGATTCAAACTGATATCATGTATTAGTGATTTAGCGGAATGGACATAGGTATTACGTGTTAAGTAATTTCTTTGAATTGCGGAACGAGATTTGAAACTGCTATAAAATTTCTAAGGCCCAGGCAAATATGATAAGAAAAAAAAGGAAAAGCAATTTTTCATTTCCGACATCTGAAGTGCTTAACACGATTTAATTTAGAACGCAATAAAAAAAAATTTAAAACCTAACCTTTCTTATCATTTCTTGATTTGATAATAATATGAAATATGTGAAATAACTTCTATGGGTATATTAAGGTATTCGGAGAATTGTAAACGTAAATTGCCAACGGGCTAAACAAAAAAAGGATTTCAAGAAGGACTCTTTGCGGCCAGTTGCTTCAATTGGCTTCGTATTGTAAAGAACAATGTGTCAATTTATGAACAGACACAGATACCAATGACGGGTGTCAAAGGAGCTGTAAAAGTGACTGTTGGAAAAATGCAAAGCCAATAATTGAATATGCATTCGAAAAACGTTCACACGAGTGACGCAAAAACTGCTGCCATTCACAAAGAAACGCACTCCGATGCCCACCTGTGAGTTCCGTGCATCAGGGTAGTCCAGAGGATATCCGTTTGTGCGGCCGCTTCCGCCGACCTCAGCTCCTCCTCCTGATCCTCCTCCTGCTCCTCCTCGCTGGGCCGTGCAGACGAGCCTTGTGGCACACAGTAAAGTTAATAACACCGGACCAAACCACGCTGTGGCTTTCATCATTCTGCAAAAAAAAAAAACGGAAAAAGTAATAGAATTGCATGGGTGAGTGCACAAGTTACAAATTTGCATGTAATTCAAATTGGTTTGGTATTGTATGTTATTTATGAAAATTAAGCATAACTATAAATATTGATAAACCGTTTTTTTCAAGCATCGGTGCCTAACCATTTGATAAATACGTTAACAGGTATTTTTATAAAGGCAATTATATTTGTTCAAAGAGTCTGTGTGTTAGTTTTTCTAGTCTAGGGTATCATAAATCCTATAATATTGTAGCATTTTCGTCTGTTCATTTATATGCAATATTAAGCTTATCTGTGGCTATTATTTTGAATATTTCAGAGCCACTGCCTTCTGCACACTTTGACCTCTGTCGTTTTCCCACTGGAAAAGAGAAATAAAATGCTGACAGCTAACCTGTGAAAAATGCGCTATATTCTGACAACAAGAAGTGTTCTCATAATTTATGGGTCACGTAAATATGTGGTACTTCTGAACCTAGTTTTTTATGTACATACGAATGTATATATGCATATCAAACTCATGTCCCTATGGACTTTTCAATCACTTCGCCGTGGAAGTTGAGTGCAAATTTGCACAAGGTTCAAAAGGGAAATTAGATTTTATATGAAAGACGTCAACGTGTAAAATGTTGGACAACTAGATTATTTTCCTGTTGCCAAGTTAAAATCATTAGCTGCAAACCTTGTTTAAAAAACGAGAAAGCAAGTTGACTTCCGCAAAATGAAGTTCATATGCCCTTTTAGTTATTCAAGCAACTGCATATTACAACTTTACACGTTTGGAATCGTAGTCTGAATGAAATTAAAATATATATATGTATAAAATATATATATGTAAATATGTATATATTTATTGCATTTGTGATCTATATTTATAATACAAATTTTAATTAGCACTGAAAAGTATTTTAGTCTTTTATAATTACATCTCACTTGTTTAGCATAGTTTCCTTGTCTCCCACTTTTCTATTATGAGCTAGGGCGTTTTTAATTGTATTAAATAAATTAAAGTTTCCCTTTTGTTTTCCTACACGTGTATACACATTGCATTTTACTCATACAAAAACACAACTAACTTTGAGTTACTAACATAATTAAGCAACAGTTGCCTTAATAGCTTAGCTTCCTGCAGTGTTGGGTTCGTAACTCAAAGTTTGAACTCCCATTACTCGAACTTCCCGGTAATTCACAATTAAGTTTCGCCCTGTTGCCACAAGGCGTTAAATACATTTTAATTTAATAATAGCCGGGGTCATAGGAGACTTCAGTTGCAAAGTTAAAATTAAAAACAAATAGCTTTTTGTAATAAAGCAATTTAATGCTTATCAAATTCCTTGATAATGAAATTTCAACATTGTTTCAAAAGTAAAATCATGAATTTTCACATTTTATCAGGAACTCAAAGTTTTTCCCCATTCAAAATTATGGCAGCTCTTTTGTTTTCGGCTGGGGGACAAACTCAAATCCCGCCTGTCAACAGGAGCATTAGACATCAGAACTAAGTAACTGCTGAAATGGCAGCCGCATTAGTCCTGCCGGCAATCACATGTCATATAGATGCCATTTGGTGAACAAGGATTTACGAATCCGTGCGAATTTCGTGGGTGGCTGGCGCACTTTCCAAACGACAATTGATGGCTATTGATTTACCCTAATAGATCGCGTAAACACTGCGGATGGGGAATGCCAAAGGTTCGCCAGTGCCGAAGTTGCAACGGAAATTGCAGCCCGATTGAATTAGGGTTGAGTGGTGGCGAACAGATGAAGCCTTGCCGCAAAGGAATTCAAATTCTTCTGTTCTCTGTTCAAAGTTTCCCAGAAGGCGATGTAATGAACGAATTCTTACATTTGAAGTTGAGCAAATATTGATTTTCTGGCAGCAATATAGAATTCAAGGCAATAAAACTGCCCTGCCCCACTGAGGATTGTGCTCCCGACAGCCATTGTCATCCTCACATCCCGGTGACGGAAATCGTGATTGCCCAGGGCTACTTGCCAGCACGTCCCTTCTTGTTTTATCGGCAATTCAGACGCAGGCCTAAACACAAGGAAATGAAATCCTGTTATCTATTCCAACTTCAGATATTTACATACGTATGCAAATACGAGTATGAATACGAGTGGCGGGCACATGGGAGAAAAGTTTCAGCAGCAGCTTTAAAAACCGTAAATCCGTTTTGATTAGGCCATAAAAAAAGCGCAAACAAAGGTCAATCAATCGGGAATCTAAGGCCCAGAAGGGAAACCACCGTCCCTTGCAAATTACAAGGTGTGATTGCCGACGCTGCCAGGAAAAAAGGACCGCTAAGCTTGTTTGCAGACTATTAAGTTACGGGATATTGTTACCTGAAACCAGAGGCAACAATGCCTTTTGCACGTGAAAAGGAAAACTAATTAGCTTAAACGTTTTTGCAGCAATCAATCAACCTTGCCCCATTTGGCGATATAACTTGGGCAACTTTTCCGTTGAGGCTCTTAGGCTGATATCTGATATGGTTCCGGAGCCAATTTCAAAAACACCTACTCAAAAACATAAAACCGTTGTCTTGATTTTTTCGAAAAATGTCACATAAAAAGAAATCACCTTATCAGTGGTAATTGCCCCTAATTTCGGTGGATCTGAAACGCACTCGACTCGGATTGATTTATGACGATCGAGATATTTCGCGTGTGTTTTTGTGTGTCTTTTTGGGATTTAACCGCGCTTGTGGCTTATATATTTTTTTCTAATTTATTTTATGTATTTACGCGCCGCGTCGCGAAACGGCCACTGATTCGGAATCTGAAACTGTTGCTGCTGGTACGGCTGATTATTCAGGTTTTTCTGTTGCTGCTGCTGCTGCTGCTGCGGTTTGTGCCAGCATCGAACCTCGAACGCAACAGGCTGACGACGAGCGGAGGACTCACGGAGCATAGCGATTACGGCGTGTTTTTATATTAGGCGCTTCGAAGCGCCCACACGAAGCGCAGGATCCGAGGAGCAACAGGACACGAAGGACACGAGGCGCGAAGGCACGAAGGCATGAAGGCACGAAGATGCCCCGGCCACGCGACGAGTTATGAATGAAAACGTGCGGGTACGGAACAGTACGACATGTTGCCAGGATGCCAGGATGGCAGGATGATGGAAATCGAATCAGATGAGGCGGGTCAGACCGCGCGGGTTAGAACCCCTAATAAATCACCGACCAAGGTGTACTAACGCATTAAGGAATTGACGGATTGGTGGGGCCAATGGCAACGGGGAGGTTATGGTGTTGCAGCAACATGTTGCTGCTGTCATTGAAATCGCGCGCGAATCAACGTCAGCGCTGTAATTATCAAACTCAATTAATATTTAATGAGTTTTATTTGCACATTAATTGTTCGATTTAAAGCCAGACGCCATGCAAGTTGACGAGGATCAAGATCCCAAGCCCTCAATGTCATGTCAAGAGGTGCTAACGTGGCCCGACATTCCGCTTGCCCGCCAATCGGGCGTTAAATTACTCGCCATAAATCCGTCAAACGTTTACCACGGGGGTCCTGTCCACAAGATGGGTTCGACACATGGGGTCCTGTGCCCAGAAGGGATTTGTTCATATTTTAGAACAACAAGATATGTTGTTTAGGGAACAGGGAAAAGTAGAACTACTGATAATCTGGTTTTTGTTGTGACTACTTCATCACAAAATGGGTTATGGAATCAATTTGTAATTAAAATAATTAATTATAGTTTACGACATTATGTTATTGTACTTAATTGTTATATTTTAGAACATGACATCACCACCTTAATCATTTCCCCTTTTAAGCAATAGATTTGCATCAATTAAAAAAGTATGCTGAGATTTAATTATGATTGCTTACATTTTGGGATACATTTTGTTGCATTCTCTTTGGTAAGCATAATTAAACATGTATTCTAAATTAAGAAGTCAAAACTTTCGGGTCCGTCAACAAGAATAGTTTTCCCATGAAACACTTAAAAGCAACAGTGTTGCCAGCTATCGCAATTGTCCTTCGTCCTTCGGACGTTGATCACCCACTTTGACACACTTTTTAATTGCTTTCAACACGTGTCTTCGGGTTTTTATGTATGTGCATACGTTGGCTTGTAATTAAGCACGTAGGCAAACGCCTCCATTTCCTACCCAGCAGGATGCTTTATGGCTGATTGAATTCAGTCAAAATGCCACTCCTGCCACTTGCTTTTATGTGAGTGGTAATGTTATTGAGCGTATGAGCGATTTTTAAGAGCGATGTAATAAGTTATACGTTTACTTTTGCTTTTGTCAACATTCTGTCGCTAACAATTGCTGAAGCTGCGTTGCAGCTCTATTGGGAAAGGTAATTGTTTTTGGATTTGGGTAAGGTAAAACGAATTTGTGAAAAAAGGTACAAAAAGATACAAAAGTTTTTAAATATCTAGGTAAGCCTATTAGTACAAACAAGAGAAAACGATATATTCGAGCTCCCCGACTTTACAAATCCAAGATTTAAGCGCAGATTTTTAGAGACTTAGGCCACAAGACTATGAAGGTATACCACTTCGAAATCGGATGTCTAAAAGAAAAGTTATTGAATTAGAACTGCATGTTTTTGGTAACTTTTCAGCAAAACCATTTTTCGGAAATTTAGAAACAGGTTACATTAGAAAAATTACAAAAAATCGACCCGAAATTACTAAACAATTTTTAAACGCAGTTTTCTAGAGGCTTAAGCCACAAGACTATAAAGGTACACCGCTTCGAAATATGGTGACTAAAAGAAAAGTTATGGAATTAAAACTGCATATTTTTGGTAACTTTTCGGAAAGCCATTTTTATATATATATATATAGAATATAGCTGATATAGAAACGGTAATTTTTATATGTCCTTGTTTCGTTTGTTTCAAAATAATTACCTGGGAAAGGTAAGAGGTAGCCTTATATTTTTGTACCTAAGTAAGGTATAAGGCAACAAAAAATGCTACCTAGGTAATATATGAGTAACTAACATATCTACTAACCCTCTTATACCTCCTTTTGACTTCTGAACTTGCGTCTTCAAGACGAGTCATAGTTAAAGGTTCATAATAAATCAAGTTAATATTTCGCAAAGCCTTTTCGTCAGGGCTTCGGACTCATAAATATGTTTATTGAATGCAGCACAGAGTTCAATCCCCACTCAAGCGCCTACAATTACCACCCACTCACCATACCGCGGCGCAGAAATTCCGTTGTCCGATTTGCGTAATAAGTCAATGACTCAACAACTGGGCTCTTGACACCCCTTTTTCTAATAGGCCACCGACGATTTGACAGGCGACTAAACGGTAAGCGAGCTTTTAATGAGGAGCAGAAAAGGCAGCCGCCTCATTTCATCCAATTATCCTTGTTATGGACAGCGATGGTTTCATCCAATTACACATGCTTAGACGATTGTGTGAGTGTCAAGAAACTTGGGGTCGGTCAAGTTAAGTCATTAATAATTAGGAACGTCTTAATAGCAGCAGACACTTTATTGAATATTAGAGGAGGAAATAACGCTGCCACTACAACATTTAATTAACAGTGTTCTCCGTCTTTTTTAACCACAACATTTGGCTTCCATCTAAATCTCTTTGAAACGCGCATTACAGTCAAGATGAGCGGATTATTCTTTGAAGCCTTTCAATTAAATCAAGTTACGGACCATTTAAGCAAGGAAAAGAAAAATCAAACAGCAGTAGAAGTTGGTCAAAAAGTTAGCTAAATATACATTTCAGCTAATCCCAGAAAAGTTTTGCCAAACTTGTTTCATCTTTGAGGCTCTATCGACTTCATTGGATGTGGAAATTACAGCGGACAAAACGTATTTACTTTCTAAGTAACAATTTTTTTTTGATTAATACCGAATAATGTATTTAGGTCTGTTCATAAAAGTAACGCAACCAAAGTTTGCTTAATGAATAAAAATTTCTAATCTTTATTGGTAATTTCAAAAGGGCAAAGAACTTTCCAGCTTCCGACCCATTTTCTGTCTTTAATGACGTATTTCACGCTTTTTTATGGAAGGGTTTAGGTAACAGAGAAACATATATAAATTTGAAGATAATAGTAACTAAAATATTAAATTATATGAATTTTTCAGCAGCGTTTGGTTACAAATAATAAAAAGTAACAATAATTATAGGTTTTGTTTTCGAACCCGTTTTTATTTCGGCTGAAATAAGTCAATGTGCTTATCGAAATATACATTTGCTTATCTTCTATTTGTGTTGTTTGCTTGCATTTATTTAAACCAACAACACTTGCCCTTTTAATGTTCTCTTATATACTTCTGTATCCAGTTTATATTCCTTGCCTGGATTATCAAATCAGATAGACCACCAAGGCACCTACCGTCCACATCGAGTACTGATCCCTGACCCCTGCACATCTCGTAAATTTGGTTTACAATCTGCATCTGGGTGTCCGGATCAGTACCTGGGTGAACTAGGAGCAGTTCTCGCAGTCGGAGGATGTATCCATTAATTTCACCCATATCTGAATTGCCCTTTCGGTATTGACAAATCAGCGTGGCCATCTGCATTTGCATATCCGGATTAGTCCCTGGCAGAACTTGAAGCAATTCCTGAAGCCTATTAACATCATCTCTATTCAAGTCGGCTCTTGCGTTGCCCGAGAGGCCAATCAAAATAGCCAGCATAACGCTAAAAATGTTTCATATGTACAACTATTTATTTTAAACATATTACGAATTTACCTTAGGCGGATGGTAAAATTCATCTTTATGTGGTTCGCTTGAGAAGTTTAGACAATCTAAAGCTGGACGGATGGAAAGTTTGGTTTTTAAAAAGATTTTAAATTGGTAAATCTTGCGACAGCAATGACTACTGATAACATTATCTCGGATTGCGTCAGTATTGAGAGCATCTTTAAAAATAGATTGCTTAATCAAGATGAGCCATGTTACAAAATATGTTTTTAGGAGAATGATGTTCTATTTTATGTGGAAGAAGTGGCTTTAAAGCACGGTCGGCGTCCGCGAATAAATATTGAAAACGGTACGGTTTATTTATTTAAGTTTCTATGTGTGTACAAAATATTCGCAAAAGAAAATAGAAAACAATTTTTTATAAAAAGTACTGTACTGTAACTGTAAAAGTTAATCGAGTTAATTTTAAACTTTCTTAAATGAACATGTATTACAATAAAACAATTTCTTAAATTAAAAACTAACAAATTTGCAGTAAACAACCGGAACAACACAATTTTATTTCATTACCTCACATCTTTGCTCAAATAATAATGCTCTATTAAATATAATTTTTTTTTGACGTAAATAATAAATAATAAAAACCAATATTTCTTAATTTACTCGAAAAGTATTAATATTTGCTAACGATATTTAAAAAAAAGACCGTTGTGTCGATAACATTGTTCGATAACATCGCTCATTCAATATTTTTAACTAATCGTGACAAGTCACAGTTGAATGACTATCGATAGCCCCTTGAATGCTTTGGGTCATCACTAGAAAAACAAATATGGCGGAACCGTGCGTAAAAGTAAAAAAAGTGTAAAATTTTGCTGTTTAACCGACTCTCGGGAAATAATTTCGCATTGAAACCGCGGAAAAAAAGCTGCGCAGCTCGTTAAATAGAAATCCTAACCTTGTGCAAACGGGAAATTTGTGCGCCGCGCGCTAAAGTTTTTTGTGAACTGCAATGCAATTTGGCCACCAATTTGTTATTACGTGACCTTAAGAACGCCGCAAAATTTGCCAGGCCAAATCGAAACACATCCCTCGCGTGCGGACAGTGTGAAAAGGACTCGCAATTGGCAGCAAGGGACTCCACTCCAGGCAGCCGCAATGCGACTTGTCAGCCGATCCGCAGTAAATGAGTTCGAGTGCGCTGAAATCGAGTTAAACCGCTGCAGAGCCATCGCCTGAGATGCCAAGGGGCTTGCCGGCGGGAAACAGCAAGTGCATCAACTAGGACACCCCCAAAGGAGCCAATAGAGCCATGTCGGGGGGACGCGACAGCAGCACCAGCAGCGGGAGCAACTCCGCCGCCGCGGGCGCTAGCGTCAATGCCACCGCCTCCGCCTCCTCCTCATCCGCATCGGCATCCTCCGCCAGCGCCGCCTCGCCCCCCTCCCTGCATCGACCACGGGGAAGGCCTGCCAAGCGGGCCACTTGCACCTGGTGCGGCGAGGGCAAGCTGCCGCTGCAGTACGTCCTGCCCACGCAGACGGGCAAGAAGGAGTTCTGCTCGGAGACCTGCATCGCCGAGTTCCGCAAGGCGTACAGCAAGGGGGCGTGCACGCAGTGCGACAACGTTATCCGTGACGGGGCGCCCAACAAGGAGTTCTGCTCGATCATGTGCATGAACAAGCACCAGAAGAAGAACTGCTCCACCAGGCACAGCGGCGGATCGGCATCGGCCAAGGGGCTGGCGGAGAACGAGCGCAAATTACTGGCCAGTGGAGCGCCCGCGCCGACGGGGCCATTCCAATATGAGAGCTTTCATGTATTCGACTGGGATGCCTATTTGGAGGTGAGTCCTGGAGAGATTTCTTTACAAACTCCCTACTAATCCCTTCTTTTTTTTAGGAAACGGGTAGCGAAGCTGCTCCTGCAGAATGTTTCAAACAGGCTCAAAATCCTCCCAACAATGACTTTAAGATCGGTATGAAACTGGAGGCCCTCGATCCGCGCAACGTCACTTCCACCTGCATTGCCACCGTGGTTGGAGTGCTGGGCTCCAGGCTGCGGCTACGCTTGGACGGAAGTGACTCACAGAATGACTTCTGGCGACTGGTGGACTCCACCGAAATCCATGCCATCGGGCACTGCGAGAAGAACGGCGGCATGCTGCAGCCGCCTTTGGGATTCCGCATGAACGCCTCCAGCTGGCCCGGCTATCTGTGCAAGATCCTGAACAATGCCATGGTGGCGCCGGAGGAGATCTTCCAGCCAGAGCCGGCTTCGCCGGAGGAAAACTTATTCAAGGTGGGCCAGAAATTGGAGGCGGTCGACAAGAAGAACCCGCAGCTGATTTGCTGTGCAACCGTGGACGCCATTAAGGATGATCAGATCCACGTGACCTTTGACGGCTGGCGGGGTGCATTCGACTACTGGTGCAATTACCGATCGCGTGACATATTTCCCGCCGGCTGGTGCGCCCGGAGCTGTCACCCCATGCAGCCGCCGGGCCATAAATCACGGATGGACTCCAGCTCCGGGAAGCAGCGATGCCCGCGTCCCCGCTACACAGTGGTAGCCGAATCGGAGGCTATGGTTCCCGCTTCTCCAGCCACCGCCCACTTTCATCCGAACTGCAAGGGCGGTCCGTTCATCAACAACTCGAAGCTGCCGTGCATGGTGACAGGGCCAACCTACCAAACGCTGGCCAAGCTGTGCCTGCAGGAGGTTTTGGCAGCCAGCACGGATACACAGCAGCTTTCCAAGCTACTGTTTGCCCTGGAAGGAGACGTTCACATCGTAACGGCAGCGGGAAAAAATTTTACAGTGAGTTTAAGTTATTTACAAATTGTACATTCACTTTTTTTTGTAACAAATTATTGATACTCCCCATTTTTTAAAGGTTAAAATACCCTCGCCATTGCGCATGAAGGATGACGAGAGCCTGGCCCAATTCATCGAGACGTTGTGCACTACATGCCGGGCATGTGCGAATCTCATCTCCCTGGTCCACGAGACGGAGGAGTGCAAGAAGTGCACCAACAGCCGGAAGCGCCAGCTGACCCAGTCAGCCACCCCGCCCTCCTCGCCTGTGCTCGCCGACAAGCGGAATCGTCAGTCCAACTCTGCAACGACTCCACCCTCTGAGAAGATCATCAAGCAGGAGGTGGGTGCAAAGTCGCCGGTGGAGACCAAACCAAAAACACCGACGAATAATGGCAAGGAACCACCTGCGAGCCACCAGAACAACCACAGTCTCAACAACAACAACAACAACAGTGCCAGTAAGCCCTGCACCAAGGTGGTCATCAAGACGGAGCCCAACGGTGTGGCAGCCCAGACGTCCTCCACAACGCAGGCTCTGCGCAAAGTACGCTTCCAGCACCATTCAAACAGCAATAGCATTGTGGCCAATGGAAGCCCGGACGCGAACCAGACCACTTCCGTTTCCACTAGCAATTGCAGCAGCTCGTCCACATCCTCCAGCACAAGCTTGGCCGGGGGATCGGCCAACGCCAGCTCGATTGGCAAATACCTGGCGCCACTGGTGGCCGAAGTGCATCCGGAGCAGGTCAACGTGAAGCCCTCGAACACATACTACAAGAGTCCGACGACGCTCTCGTCCAGCGCCTCGTTGCCCACATCCGTGTCCACGCCTTTTACGGGCTGCCAGTCAGCCTCGTCCACTGCACTGGCTGCAGGCGGAGTTACGGCGGCCAAGGCGGCCACCGCGCCGGCCGGGGCAGCGGCAACTGCGGCAGCTTCCACGAGCTATACAGCGATTACCTCACCCCTGAGCACACCCACGTCTGCTTCGGCCAACTCGCACCTGCGTTCGCAGCCCATCGACTGGACCATCGAAGAGGTGATCCAGTACATCGAGAGCAACGACAATTCCCTTGCCGTGCATGGCGATCTCTTCCGCAAGCATGTAAGTAACAAACATGCTCCTTTATCGCTTTGAAACGATTGTCTAATTGATTGGCCTCTTTTTAGGAAATCGATGGTAAAGCTTTATTATTGCTAAATTCAGAAATGATGATGAAGTACATGGGCCTGAAGCTAGGACCAGCCTTAAAAATCTGCAATTTAGTCAATAAGGTGAATGGTCGTCGAAATAATCTGGCACTTTAAAAAAAGCCACAAATATTATGGCAGAGGACTCTGGTTGAGTTGGACTTACATAGACATTGTTAACAAATTAGTACCTCCCATTAACGTAAAGCAAAGCGAACACGAACTATATTCGTAGATATGTTATGTGTTGGCTATTCATGAAGAAAAAACCCCTAACCTTATTTTATTATATCGATAATATACAACAACCGCGCAAAAACGAATCTAATCGCGAAAACATGAAGTTCCCTTTTCGAAACGTTCGCATAACAAATTATAGACAAGCCATGCTCCGGTTTTCAAAACCGTTATAGTTTTCTTTAGTTGCTCGTGTTTCTTTTTTTTTAGAAAACGCCTTAACAATCGTCATTAGGTACCTAAAATTTCTAAAATTTCTCTACTATACAAAATATCTAATCTAATACAGTTTTTGTAAGTGTAGACAAGAAAGATACTTTTCTCGAATTAAGCATATTTTGTAAAAGTAAGAGTATCTTCAAAATTACCCAGTCAAAAGAGTTTACGTACAAGATTAATATTAGGTTATGATCGCGATTCCTAAAAAAGTGAAGTATTTTATTATTTTGAACCAAAATTATTAGTTTCTTTGAAAACTGGAGCTCGGCTGCCAAAAACGCAATGCACATGCATGATATTTATTACACATAAACACGCACATTAGACACCAAAATCTATCCAACACAACAATGATATTTAACGTTAGAATAGGCGAGAAAACAAACAAATATAAAGTGAATGTACATATTTTACATATAATTTTGTAATTATGTATCAATTGCGTTTCCTAACTATAACAATATTTAATTAGTCATTAAACAGAATGATGATATAATTTTCTATTAAGTTATTAAAATTGAATATCAATTTTTAGTTAAATCAACAGCAGATTAAGGTAATTTTTCAAAATAAGAACCGCTTCCTTTCAAAGTTTTGCAATATATGCGATATAAAGAGTAACATTCGGTCGTGTAAAGTTTTGCAATAAGTCTCATTATGTTTACCCAACAACTTACAAATACAAAACCTAAATAGAGCCAACTGTATATATCAT